CCTCTTTACATAATCCTATATTTTTTTAGGCTTTGTTCCTTCCTCTTATTTCTCTGTCCTTTATCTTTGACTGATTTGTTTAATTCGAAGGTGTTGTCTTCAAGCTCTGAGATTCTTCTGCCTGGTGTATTCTATTCTTAAGACTTTCCACTGTGTTTTATATTTCCTTGAATGAATTTTTCATTTCCAGAAGTTCTATTTGATTTTTTTAAATAATTTGATTTCTTTAGTGAATTTTTCATTCATTTCTTGAATTTTTGTGTGTGTGTGTTGGCTTTACATTTTCTCTTGTATTTCATTGAGCATACTTATAATCATATTTGGAATTCTTTTTTTATTTCAGAATATTATAGAATTACAAACATTTTGGTTACATGAATTACTTTTGTACAGTTTAAGTCAAAGTTATAAGTGTGTCTATCACCCAGACTGTGCACTGTACCTGTTAGGTATGAATTTATCCAACCCCTCTTCCTCCCCCCCTCACCTGCTTGATTTCCATTGAATTTTACTACCATATATACACAAGAGTGTTAATCATTTAGTTCCATTTTCATAGTAAGTACATGCAGTGCTGTTTTTCCCTTCTTGAGATACTTCACTTAGGAGGATGGTCTCTAGTTCCATCCAGGTTGTTATAAAAGGTATTAGATAACCATTTTTTTTATGGCTGAGTAAAACTCCATGGTATACACATACCACATTTTGTTAAAACACTCATGTATTATTGATGAGCACTTAGGTTGTTTCCACATTTTTGCAATTGTGAATTGTGCTGCTGTAAACATTTGAGTGCAAGTATTCTTTTTATATAATGTCTTTTTTTTCCTTTGGGTAAATAGCCAGTAGTGGGATTGCTGGATCAAATGGTAGGTCTTTTAGTTCTTTGATGTATTTCCATATGATTTACCATAGAGGTTGTCTTAGTTTGCAGTCCCACCAAGAGTATATAAGTGTTCCTTTCTCTCCACATCCATGCAACATTTGTCATTTTGGGATATTTTGATAAAAGCCATTCTCACTGGGGTTACGTGATATCTCATTGTGGTTTTGATTTGTATTTCCCTGATGATTAGTGATGTTGAGCATTTTTTCATATGTTTATTGGCCATTAGTCTATCTTCTTTTGAAAAGCTTCTGTTCATGTCTTTTGCCCACTTTTTAATGTGGTTGTTTGTTTTTTTTTCTTGCTGATTTGCCTGAGTTCTTTGTAGATTCTGGTTATTATCAAATGTGTAGCATGCACATATTTTCTCCCATTCTGTAGGTTGTCTATTCACTCTATTGATTGTTTCCTTGGCTATGCAAAAGCTTTTTAATTTAATCAGGTCCCATTTATTTATTTTTGTGGTTGCTGTGATTGCCTTTGGGGTGTTCTTCATAGATTCTTTTCCCAGGCTGATATCTATAAGAGTTTTCCAACCTCTTCTTTTAGAATTCTTACAGTTTCATGCCTTAGGTTTAAGTCTATTATCCATCTTGAATTAATTTTTGTGAGTGGTGAGAGGTGCAGATCCTGCTTCAGTCTTTTACATGTAGCTATCCAATTTTCTGAGCACCATTTATGAAATAGGGATTCATCTGTCATTTCAATATTCTAGTTTTGGTTGATTTCTATTGCTAGAAAGCAGGTGTTCTCTTTCAGGGGTGAACTTTTGCTCTGCTTTCTTCATACTTCCAGAGGTTTTTTTTTGCTGATTCCTTCTCATCTGGAGCAGCTGTTGCTTCTTATTTTTGGATTTTCTTTTGTTTAGATAGGGCTTTTTCCCCTCATCTCACTCAGATGGGTGTGTTTGTAGCACATGTTGTGTATGAACTTTTGGCTTTGCTTGTGGCTGTTTTGATGGTGATCTAGGTTCTGGATGGATGCCTTGGTTATAGATAACCTTGATGTGGTGGTTTTCTCAATTGCTAGTTGTTTGTAGGAGTGGTGAGCTCTGTAAGTGGGCAGATTTCCTGCCTCTCTTTGATGAGGAAGGGTGGAGGTCTTTGAAATCCTTTCTCTTTCCTCAGCCCTGTGGTCTTCTCAACAGTGAGTTATGATGGTACACCCAGTTTAATCTCTGAGACAGTAGGTGGTGCTTGTGCGTGCGATTTAATCACACCCTGTAGGATTGAGTCTGTAGATACTGTAGATGGTGTGCAAATTGACCTCCCTGTCAGTAGGTGGCACTTGCTGGAAGGAACAAGCTGCAATGTTGTTTTTGAGTCCTGTCACCAGCACTAGTCTCTCAGGAGAAGCACTGGAATGTCTCAGGTGGTGGGTGGGCCCCTGGAGCTGCCACAGCAGAGGCAGGCAGGGGAGTATAGGAAGATGTGGCTGGGTTTGGTGAGCTTGCCTTTAGGCTCCACAAAAGCTGTCAAGGTAGCTGTTTCAGCAGGGGTCGACATCAGATAAAGGGGTAATATGAATCTACAAAGAACTCAAGCAAATCAGCAAGAAAAAAAAATCAAACAACCACATTAAAAAGTGGGCAAAAGATAAAAGATATGAACAGAAGCTTTTCAAAAGAAAATAGACTAATGGCCAATAAACATATGAAAAAATGCTCAACATCATTAATCATCAGGGAAATGCAAATCAAAACCACAATGAGATATCACCTAATCCCAGTGAGAATGGCTTTCATCAAAAAGTTCCAAAACAACAGATACTGGCATGGATGCAGAGAGAAAGGAACACTTATACACTGTTAGTGGGACTGCAAATTAGTGCAACTTGTATGGAAAATTGTAAGGAGATTCCTCAAAGAATTAAAAGTAGTCCTACCGTTTGATCCAGCAATCCCACTACTGGCTGTTTACCCAAAGGGAAAAAAATCATTTTATCAGAAAGTCACTTGCACTAGAATGTTTATTGCAGTACAAGTCACAATTGCAAAGATGTAGAATCAACCCAAGTGCCCATCAATTTATGAGTGGATTAATAAATTGTGGTATATGTATATCATGGAGTACTACTCAGCCATTAAAAAAAACAATTAGTATCTTTTGAAATAATCTAGATGGAACTGGAGATCCTTCTCCTAATTGAAGGATCACAAGAATGGAAAAACAAACACCACAGGTACTCACTATTCAATTAGAACTAACCGATCAGCATTCATGTGCAAAGATGGCAGTAAAACTCCATGGAAATCATGCAGGTGGGACAGAAGAGGAGGAGATGGGTGAAATCATACCTAATGGGTACAATGTACACTATCTAGGTGATGGACACACTTATAATTTTGACTCAAGCAGTACAAAAGCAATCCCTGTAACCAAAACATCAGTACCTACAATATTCTGAAATTTAAAAAATAATGATTTTTTTAAAAAGATGAAGTACCTAAACATAATCCCAAACTGAATATTCATCAAAAAAAGCTAATAGTGTCTGTTTGGTGGTCCAGTGCTGGTAATACTCATTACAGCTTCATGAAACCTGGTCAGTCAAATACAGCAGATGTCTACTGCAACCTGTTGGATGAAATGATGAGGATGCTTGCAATTAAGCAGCCAAGATTGGTCAATAGAGACAGGCCAATGCTCTTACAAGATAGCGCTTGACCACATGTCACGCAAATAATGCTGCTCAAAGTACAGAGGCTGGATTTGGAAACTCTCTGTCGTCCACCATATTCACCAGGCCTTTCACCAACTGACTACCACTTCTTCCATGCTTTGGACTACTTCTTGCAAGGAAAAATATTCAATTCTCAACAAGTTGCGGAAAACACTTTTCACAATTTTATAACCACTTGCTCTCCAGGCTTCTTTGCTGCTGGCATAAACAAGCTACCATGGCAAAACTGTGTTGATATTTAGGTGCATACTTTGATTAATTGTACTGCTTCAATGTTTGAGATATAATCAACTAAACTTTTGATTCAAAATGAGACATTTCATATTTCATGATCTAATATTACCATTCAGATGAAGACTGAAAAAATGAGGGGTTACATTGTCAAAGACCACACAGCTCTTGAGTGGCAGAGCCAACGTTTGGAACAGAGGGAGTCTAGTGCCACATTCCATGCTTTTAACCACTATACCAATTCGGGAAGAATATGAAAATTGTCTTGGAATAGTTGAAGGGCAGCAGAGTGGAGGAGGAAAGTGAACATATTCCCCATTGCCTCAGAAGGTGCCTCAGAAGGATCTAAGATAAAAAGCTAGAAGGAAGCAGAATTTGGCTTAATAAAAGAAAGTAAATACCAGAGATAGAGTTTTCCAGAGGCAGTGGCTCCCTGTCGCTGCTGGTGATTGGATCTAGTTTAGAGCAGCAGTTGTCAGTGATGCTGACAACGAGAACAGTGGTTAGGTCAGGTGAAATTTCCTTTCCTATGCTGAGATTTTATGAGTTAGGGATGTATCATGATCACTGTCACCAGTACTTCTTTACTTGGGGAGTTAGAAAGTTGTGAGAAGGTGGGGAGGGATAATGGATCCTTAAGCAATTTTATTGATAAACATTACTGGCATTACTCTCACCAATAGCATATTATAATATATTTTGGCTCAAAGGTCTCAGAACAAACTTTTAAAAGTTTTTTTAGGCTGGTCCAAAGGTAATGAGTTATCTCACCTGATTGTTCACAGTCTGTTACAGATTGAACTCCTTGTTCTACTGCTTTCCCCACTTTCTACTGCACTTGACTAGTCTAAAAAAAAAAAAGTTTTTTTACATGACAAAATTGCATATAGTTATCATGTTCGATATGTTTTAAAATATATATACTGTACATTGTGGAATGGCTAAATAGAGCTAATTAATATTCAGAACTGACTTTTGATAGATATATAAAGTTGGCTTATTGAAAATTACATTAAAGGACAATGCTTCCAATTTAACATTGTTAACTACATAGTTAATGTAGTGCAGCACTAAAAGCGCAACTTAATGATTATAACTTTCATAAATCACTAAATAATATTAAATGAAATTTTGGTTGATTTTCTTATGCTCTATCACTTGCTTTTCTAACTCTCATGCATTTTTTCCCCTTTTATTGCAGGCAATTCTTATGCAAGAGGCTAAACGCAATTAAATGTGCAGGATGAAAAGATGGCACAGGCACTGCTGGTACCCCCAGGACCTGAAAGCTTCCGCCTTTTTACTAGAGAATCTCTTGCTGCTATCGAAAAACGTGCTGCAGAAGAGAAAGCCAAGAAGCCCAAAAAAGAACAAGACAATGATGATGAAAACAAACCAAAGCCAAATAGTGACTTGGAAGCTGGGAAGAACCTTCCATTTATTTATGGAGACATTCCTCCAGAGATGGTGTCAGAGCCTCTGGAGGACCTGGACCCCTACTATATCAATAAGAAAGTGAGTGCTGATTGTATACTTCCAATAAGTCTTTACTTAAACACCTAACTTTAAAATAGACTTCTGGGGCTTATATAACTACTGCAACATAATTTTTCTTCTATTAAAGATTTTATAATATTCTTTATCTCCACTTACTTTTAAGCACAATGTGATAAACAGAAACATTTATTAGAAATGCAGTCAAGAGTTGGCTACAGGGAGGAGATATGAATAGATGAACAATTTCTACAGTTTCATGGTAATTGTGATAAATAGTCAAAATTAAAACGGACATCAACAAAGAGAAATATCTGTTCTGGGTGACATATTTATACATGGGATGATCAACAGAATAATAGCTATGCCAAAAAAATTATGGGAAGATGTTGTACATCTTATTTTTTTAGTTCTTATTTGGCTTGAGGTTTCTTCACAATAATTTGTATTCTAGAGGACAATAAATAATCTTCTACTTAGCATCCTCCTATAAGTAGATAATATATGGAGAAGCACATTTACCTAAAGATACATGTTTTGTTCCCCCACACACACACTGACCTGGAGCATGATTAGTATCTTCTCTAGATCTTATTTATTTTAGGCTATATTCTGGAACATCTACGTATTGTTAAAACTTCACCCTAAGGAAAAAAAGTCAAGATTGAAGACAAAAAAAAACCAACAGCTTTAATCTTCTCCATCTATACATGATTTAAGTCAACAATTATGACTGTCTTCCTAATGCTAAAATAAGCACAGAATTCTGTCAGAATTAGCTAATTTCTGTAGTTAAACCAGCTGGGTATTATTTTATAGAAAATATAAAAACTGGATAGTTAACTCCATACTTTCTAATTAGGTATTTTGGCATCTTATAACCACAATTTATATTTTATGTTCACAAGCATAAAAACAGTTCAATGTAGAAACTGAAGATAAATTCATATCACCATGCGTTGATGGCTTATGGATTATAGTATATATTGAACACCTTTATTAGTCAAAGCACACCCTTTTAAAAGTAATGGCTGAAGAAATTGCATTTTTTAAGCAGTGCACCATTTAACTTTATAAGATCAGTATTGACTAAAGGAAATGACAACCATTCAGACATGGAACTATCCTATTGTTCTAAAGGAGTACTTCTCAAACTTGCACATACATACAAATACCTGAGGATCTTATTAAAATTCAGATTCTGATTCCATAGATCTGGGGTGGGGCCAGAGATACTGCATTTTTTAGAAGCCATCAGGTGATATCCATCCTGATAGTACATGGGCCACACTTTGAGTAGAAAGCTTTAATATGTTTTACTTAAAGTCATAAAAACAAATCAAAACAGTTAAACAGGTTCTTTTTCCCATTTTAAGTAGTTTCATCAAAGGTGGCTATTTAATGTATGTTCATATATGTCTCAAAAATTTATTTCCATATTTTACTATGGAATTGATAAAGGAGATTTTGAAATTTAGAAACTTAGTCCTGATGATGACAATAAGACATCCTTCAAGAAATTGAAAAACAAAATTCTCCCCTGAGAACTATTGATCTGAAGTACGTATTTGCAAAGATACCTTTGAGAGAGAGGGAGGCATGATTTATTCTGACATGATGAAAAGTATTTGCTACTTACAGAAAGAAAGTATCCTTAAGAAAGGAAATTGATCAGCCTGGTATGATTAAGGGGCACTTGGAGGAGACTAATAGAGACAACCATTAGTATTTTCCAAGGGAGAGAGATGTTTAGTAGTACTGAAAGCATTTTCCTCCCAATGGCAAGGCTACACTGGGCTGCCTAACAGATGCAGTTAAACATTCTGCATAATTTGATTAAGTCAGCTGGCTGGGGCTCCACACTCAGCAAGAACCCTTCTGATTAGAATTTGTTGTCCCATAGATTTGCTTAAAGGAAAGAATGTACTGGTTATGTGAAAGTAATATACTTCATTGCAAATAAATAGATTGGCATTCTGATTTTATATGCCAGGCTTTTAAATTTGGTTAATGGGAATCTGCCACTAGGAAAGAGAATTGTCCTTTGTTGTTGATAAAGTCAGTTTTTATTGCTTACATGGCTGAGAGCCAGGCCTGATTTATTGATAGTCCCCATGAACCGTCTTGGGAAACATCTAGCCAGCCTCTTCACTGTTGGCTTCACTGCTTTCCTTTATGAAGTATCTATTAATATAAAGATGAAGACTGAGTTGCTCTTAAAATAATAGGTAATTTGTGATTGTTAGGATAGAAGGAGTAATGGAAGAAGCTAATGGAAGAAGTTCTGGAATTTAAAAACATGTTATGAAGTTAATTATTAATATATGAAATAATGCAGGTAAAAGGCATTGAAAAACTCTAAAGCATTATGTAACTCTTTGCTGCTATTAATTAGTAATACATTTTTAATACAAAATTTAACCAAATGAGAAACATCACAATGTATTTTAATGGCATGTAAATTGAACAAAGCAATGGCTTAAGAACAATAAAAGTGATAATAATAGTTAATATATGTTGTGCTCATGCTGTGTCAAACACTGCTTGAGTGCTTTAATTTATTTAATATTCAGTGAGCCAGGTATTCTTGTTAGCCTCAGTTTACAAATAGGGAAGTGAAGCTGAGAGGTTAAAAGTAACTTACCCAAGGTCACAAACCATAAGTGGTAGATCTAGGACCGATCTACCATATATGGAGAGCAGTTTATGGAAAATGGTTAGTTAAGTAATGGTTGGCTCCATTGTCTTAAATACAAAAGAGAAATGAACAGAGAAATTGGTTTCCTGCTCTTTATACTGACAATATAATTATTTCTGTCTACCTATTCAAACAAAGCACCATATCAATGAAAATGAATTTATGAGATATAATCCTTACTTAAAGGGGAAAAACATATTATTACTTGGAAACCTGACTTTAGAATTGGCACTATTTATCCCTCCCCCAATCATCTGTCATTTTCTCAATTAATTTTCAGTTTAGGTACATCTTTCCATAACATCAGAGCCCCAATTTCCAACTTTTATCTTGCAATTTTTTAACTATACATGACATTAGTATTTTATTCCTCATTTCTCAGAACTCAGGGTTTTCTTTGTGTCAAGTATTGTTCTCTAGAAATAAACTAGTATTGTGGTCTTAAGGCCTGCTCTGTTTCAAACCCTGTAAATTCAATAAAGATTCTCTTGCCATGTCAGCTTTAATTCCACTAGTACCACAATGGCTAATCTTGCAGGAGGAGCAAAGGGTTTCATGTTCAAAGGGATCATTCATGCCTATTCACTCTGTTTTTGAAGGTATTTCAAAATAAAATCCTCTCCTAATGTTGCAAATAAAAATTGCTTTTTCAGGGAAATTGTTTCATAAAAGCAAGAGTAAATGCACCTTAAATTATGGAGAACTTTTCCAAGTTAATACTGTCATTGAATACCTAAATGGATCTTGATTGACTATAATATTAAATGATCTAATCCTGTGAATTCAAGACAATCTTTTACTGTCTCTGTGCTTCAGGGGCAGTCTTCCAAGGTCCACTGTCCCTTACAGATAATCCTACTGATCGCAAAGAATAGTTTACTTGTCCTCTTCATAAAATTGTGTACATTTATTGAGTGCAGTTTATGGAAAATAGTTAAGTAATGGTTGGCTCCATGGTCTTAAATACAAAGGGGAAATGAACAGAGAACTTGTTTTCCCTGCCCTTTATACTAACAATATAAATACTTCTGTCTACCTATTCAAACAGAGCATGTTGTCAGTGAACAAAAATTTATGAGATATAGCCCATAGTTAAAGGGGGAAAATGTATTATTAAGGAAGTGTTTATATAGATGTCTTAAAGGTAAATGATATCTTTAAGGTAAACCCATATTTAATGAAAACAAGTCTTTATTTGCAAACTGCGCTATTAAATACTGTGAAAAAAATGGGGTAAAGTAGATTATAGGCTCTTTATGTTCAGTGGTTTTTATAGCAACTTCTAACCTAGTCTCACTGGAATGAATGCTACATATAAATTGCTACTTGACTATAATTACAGGCAACATGAAAAAGAGTGCAAATTAATATACTGTAACTTACCAGTAAAGGGAAACAATTAGGGAGCAATCAGGAGGTCCTGTGGTTTATCTGGAAAGACATAATGAAGGAGGTGACTTTGATAGCTGAGAATATTCCCAGAGAGAAAGGATTTTCAATCCTGACTGCATATTAGAATCACCTGGGAAAATTTTTTTAAATCCCCAAGTCTGCTCCCATCCCCCAGAAGTTTTCATTCAATTGGTCTGAGTAGGACCTAAATATTAGCAATGTCAAAATCTCTCCAGGACACTCTAATATGCAGGCAAGATTAAGAACCTCTGACAGAAAGTCATTGTAGGTGGGACCTTACTGTCAGCTCTGTTATGGAGACATTTCCCTGAAATGGGAGGGAGTTTGCCTTCAATGACCTCTCAGGTGCCACCTTCCTCTAGGATTCTGGAACATTCATTCCGAGAGTCAGAGGGAGGGTCTGGCAGGGTGGGAGTGGGATTGACAAGTGGATTGAATTGGCTGGAACACATCTGACTCGGGTGGGAAACAAGAGAAGATGATTCTGGGACATGGCAGGTAATCACTGGGCAACATAACTAATGCCAAGGGGCTGATTACAGGTTTCTGATCACAGGATTTGGGCTATGCAGTGCCCTTTGAAATGATGTCTTTCAGACTTATATTCAGTGCAGCTGCTCCTCTTCAGCATGAGCTGAGAAGTTGATCCCTTCTCAGCAGATCTATAGAATCAGCACAACAAGGTTATTCAATCTGTTTGAACATTTTAAACTACAACAGAGACCATAGGGAGCCACCATGAACCTCAGAGTTAAAAGAGTTGATGTAATTAAAATATTTATAAAAGATTATTTTAGCAGCTATGTGTACAGAATAATCCAAAAAGTTACCAAAGCTGAAGACAGATGGTGAGCTTTAAATAGAATTGGAATCTGTAAGGCCACCTTACACTTTGGTAAAAAATTTTGTGTAGAATTATCAGTTTGTATCAGCAAGCTGGAGCCATAGAGATGGATTATATAAGAGTAAATTGTATCTTTATTTGTAATTGTATGTTAATTTAGAGGAGAAACATTTAACATGTTTATAATTATGATATATCAACTGGTTTAAACAAAGAAGTTTGAACAAAAAAGTCGGATTGTTTTTAGAAAAAAGTTCTCCATGTATGTAAGCTCTTCAAATAAGCCACATTTCTAATTTCATAATTTATTTCTTGTATCTTCTTTTTCAGACTTTTATAGTAATGAATAAAGGGAAGGCAATTTTCCGATTCAGTGCCACCTCTGCCTTGTATATTTTAACTCCACTAAACCCTGTTAGGAAAATTGCTATTAAGATTTTGGTACATTCATATCCTTTTTATGTGAATTATCTAAGTGCTATTTCTAAAGGTTAATTTTAAAGAAAATTTCGTGTTTTTAAATAATTATAAAATTTCTTTCAGATTAATGGTAACATTGTTAGTTTAATTTTTTATCATTGGTCTTCTGCTATTTACAATGAGATTATCATAGAATGACTATTCTGATTCTATTAATAGGAGAAAATATACAACCATGATAATGAATGTGTAAATGAAATGCATTGTATAGTAGGAACAAGAGTAAAACCACTTACACTTTTATTAACTTCAATTAGATCATATATAATCGTTGCTAAAGAAAAACAGTTTATTGTGGTTAGTATTACTATCTGTATTACTCAGTGTTCAAACTTTTGTGCCTTTATTGGCACAAAAAATTGGTTCTTTATCTTCAACAGCTAACTCTCTTCTCCCTCCCTCCCTCACTCCCTTCCTTCCTCCTGTAAATATTTATTAAACTCCTACTATGTTCCTATATACCTGGATAATATATATGAAAAAGTTGAACTTAAAACTACTTACCATGATAGTCAAAAAGTACATATAAAAAGGCAGAATAGATATGGGTTTCAAGAAAATTCTCAAGTAATGATAAAAGAGAAAGGTAATTTTCTGAGGCAGCGTTCATGAATGGGCATTTTGTATAGGCAGATTCAAAACAGGTTTATATTTATAAACTAAAAGACAGACTAGCCTAGAGGCAGGGCAAATAGAACTGATAACCTTTTGAAGAGCATTTGAATTCTCTCATTTGATGGCTTAATGTTGGAAAGCATTTACATTTTAAAATAAGAGATTTACCTCAAAATAATCATAAACTTCCTAACAGTTGAAGTCTAGATTGAGTTCCCAAAAGAAACTATTACAGCTCATTCTCAGGAGAGCATCAAAATAGTGCCTATCTATTTAGGTATGAGGTGGACTAGATACAGGAGGATAGCTAGGTGCCTTGTTGGGTTCCCCTGAAGTCTAACGTAAAGATTAAAAAGTTAAAAAATAGTGTTGCTTTATCAGCACATCTCTCTTTATTATGTTGTATCATCTCCGTTTATTATGTAGTAAACTATAGTAGAACTAATTACATCCCTAAAAAGATGCTAGAGTATTTACAGTAGAATTCTCAATCAATGTAATCTTTAAATATACTAGGCTATACATTCTCAAGCTTTTTATACTGCCTCCACTAACCTTTTGTAAGTCAGCAGAGATTTTAAGGTATATTTGAAGTATACTTTTACACTTATACTGTAAACTTACTGAAGAATGGTGAGTTTGCCTTGGAATGCAATTTCACACAGCTGATTAGAATGCAAAATAATTCCCATCTGCTTCTAATAGGTATTGCTTTCTATTAAATTCAGTTTTGTGAATATATGATGTAAAATTAAGAAAGAGTAGACAAAGACCATATGCCAGGCTTTGAAGTTTCTTATTATTTTTTACCATCGTCTTAAAACAAATAAGCTTAATTTCACAGTTAACTCATGTTGATAAATGTTTCTGTGTATATTGGATCATATGTAAATGGCTATGGTAACATACTAACATTTTCCTTAACTATAATCTACTTTATTCAGCATGCTTATCATGTGCACTATTTTGACCAACTGTGTATTTATGACCTTGAGTAACCCTCCAGACTGGACCAAGAATGTAGAGTAAGTAGGAATAACTTCTTGGAATGTGAAATGCATTCTCAAATTCTCTAGCAATCTCCTGTGGTTATGGTCTGACATACAGCTTCCACTTTTTGAAGTCAGGCTAAACACTTCTGTCTAAGAAAAAGTTATTTTCCATAATATGAAAGAAGATAAGGGAAGTTCTTTGGGGGAATTTTTCTTCTAATTTCCATAATATGAAAGAAGGTAAAGGAAGTTCTTTGGGGGAGTTTTTTCTTCTATGAGGTAAGTATTTTTTCAAACAAATTCATTATAGTATCTGTTTGAGAGAGGTTTTCAGTTAGTATATACTTACTGATAATTTAGCATAAAATTAAGTCTGTCATAGTTAGACATTTTAGATAAAATACAATTTCACAAATTGAGTTTTATCTGAAAAGAAAAAAAATTTAAAAATACAATGATCAAGTAATTTGATGAATAAAATTATTCTATGCTAATACATTGCTATTATTGTCATATTCTAGTAAAATAGGTTTAAGTTTTAGTACTATATTAATATATTAGGCATTTTGGTTATATGCTATTATATTTAGGAAAAATATATTTACGTATTTGAGTTAAGTAACTCATATATTTTTGGTGTCTAAGTTATATTTAGATATGTAGGTTATTTAGACACAACATGTGTGCTAAAACATTTTAGATGTGTTCTGTAAAAGAAATGAAATGTCTTCTGCAAAACTGTGCTCAAAAAATAACAGGGTTTAAGAGGGAAACAGGATTAGGGGCAGAACACTCAAAAGCTTATGAAACTTTGTAACCAGAACACTAATAGAAACAATAGCAATCCCAATAATAATGTGTTTGCCCAGTGAAGTCTTTTATGACATTTGCATTTACAATCACAACCATTGAGTCCTTTGCAGTCTTAGATCCTGGGCCTCATCCTTTGTCCCTTGAGATGGAGATGGGGGCATTTGTATGACATCACCAAAATAAAATGTTTCATTGAGTATTTTAACACAGGGGGAAAGATCAAAGCTCAGTAGTTGTTCAGGATGCTAAGCCAGCCCCTAGTCGCATTAAAAGAAGACACTTCTGTGAATACCTGCATTAATATGAAGGTTATTTTTTTAATTGCAAGGAATTTTCTACTTAAGTGTGAGAAAAAAATGTCCCTCATTGTTTCAAAACATCAATATGCACGGGAAATTTGTGCGTGAGCTAATGTAATTTCTGCATCATAGTATTTCCTAATTTGTCAGTCACATATGAGGTTATTTGTGTCAAAGAAACATGCTTTTCAGTAAACAGAAACTGTTTAGGTTTATATATAGACTATATACAGTATATATGTCTATATATATACTATGTATATACTATATATATCTATATATTATATATATGGTTATATATAGACTATATACAGTATAATACAATGATCACATATTTGGTTAAGTAAAGATAATTAATATGCTGTTTTTATTGTTTTTTTTAAAGTAACGAATAAAAGGAGATAAGATAGTATAACAAATACTGCCACTTTTTCCTTGTTTTTATAGATTTCTATGAGGATTGACTGTACCATTGGAAGCCATTATTTGTCAGTGATTTAACACATTTTTGCAAATACTGTGTTTCCCTGAAAATAAGACCTACCCATAAAATACGCCTTAGCAGGATTTCTAAGCATTTGCGCTATATAAGCCCTACCCCAAAAATAAGACCTAGTGATGGGCTGGCTTCGCAGCATATCTGCACAACCCATGCATTTCCTTGCGAGTGGCAAAGAAGACAAGCAGCCCTTCTCATCTGCTCCGTGAGAGCTCTATTGCTCGACATGAGAGATTGGGGCCAATTGGTTCTAAAGGAAATAGAGTCGCAAGAAATTCAGGATGGAATTCGGGGTTTGGAGAGTTATGATGATGTTCCAGAAGAAGATGACTCAGCTATATTTGAATAAATGTAGATTGTTGTACTGTACTTTAAAAAAACAACACATCCCCTGAAAATAAGCCCTAGGGTGTCTTCTTGAGGAAAAATAAATATAAGACCCTGTCTTATTTTCGGGGAAACATGGTAGTAGCTTGAAAATGCTCCCTGGAAATGGCTGTAGTAGAGAACCCAGTTCTTATATTGAGGCAGGCCCTTCAGTAGAACTATCCGTCACTATGTTTGATTTTGAAGTTAACAAAATGGACATACCTATATAAAACCATTCTGTATGTGCTTTTGCCAACAGAAATTATGAAGCATTTAAACACGTATCACTTTCATTTATTTGTATAATATTATTAAAAGATAAGCAAAGAAGACACTTGAATATGTAGGTCTCTCTTTTTAAAGTAACAGTATTAATTTACAGATGATTATGCCTGTTATGAAAGTAGTCTTAGTTTTATGAAAGTTTTTGTCTTTCATCTTTCAGTTGGAAAACTTTGCATATGATCAATTATCTTTAGTAACTTGAGAACAAGACAGCAGGAAAACAAGCAAAAATAGTGGTGGTTACTGGCAAAAAAAGAAAAAAAAACAAAAACAAATCAGAGTCCACTGAAAAGATAGATCAGTTCTGAGATAAAAACAGAAGTCATTGATATCAGAAACACTACAAAGATGTGGCATACACAGAATGACCTAAGAATCATATTTTATAGTGAGAGGAGCATTATGCAAGGCAAGGCATTTCTGTAGACATCAAAGTTACAGGAACAAAAACCTGTGACAGACAGAATTGACAGCTTGTTTAGGAAGCTAGTGAGGGGGCAAAGCCAAGAAAGATCAAGGTCCCCTCATTCCAACTTACTTGTTTAATCTAGTTGCTAGTAAGCACTTTTGAATACCTATTCTCTGTCTCAGATGTCAAGCTCTAGGGCTCTCTCCTGTGGACAGCTATCAATACCATACATTCCAAATGTCCCCACACATTTACTCACTTTCCAAAAACAGGAACAGAAGTAATCTTACTCCTAGTAACTCTATAGATACAGAATTGCCTCAGCAGAAACCACAGGGCACTAACCACTAATATAATAAACAGAACATACATGTGAGGTGTCGCTAGGCCATGTAAAAGGTCAGCTATCTTTCCAAAGAGAAATATCATGGTTGTTATATGTATTATGCAAAGATCCAAACTAAAACATAAACATCAGTGTGATACTATGAAATATATCTTTTCCTAATAGTCAGCTACTTCATAATAAATAAAGATAGAAATTATACTTACTACTCACGAAATCATTGAATTGTTGAGCGGGGAAGGAAGGGAATGTACTTAAGAAAAGTAGATGTGACTATTTCTGCATACATTATCCTTGATTTCTTTGTTGCCGCATATAAGAGAAATTTCTATAGAAAACATTTCAAAAATAACAATCCTAAAATTTATTCATATAAAATACTGGTAGGCTGTAAAATATAAGGAATTTTAATAAGAGTAAGTCAAATCTTTATGGCTTGGGTGAGTACTCTGACAAACTTAATTTGTACTTTTAAAGAACACAGTGTTGAAAAACAAGTACTCAACTATTATATTTTTGGAAGAAACAGAAATAACTTATATTGTCAACACTCGCAAAAAAAAAAAAAGAGGGCTAAGAATGCACTACATTAAACAGCAAATGGAGAAGTCTTACACTGTTTTGGAGCCTAAAATTTGAATTTGATCAAGGTTTAAATGATTTGGTCCAATTGCATAGAGATAGTAGCTAATGCAAAGTTAGATTTAAGAATTTTGTTTATCCCTGAATTTTGGTAATTGTGTAAACACACACACATAGAATGCTGGTTAATTGAAATATTTCTTGTGATTATACATACATATATCTATACAACACACACACACACATAGAGATATGGAGATAGAGGGAGAGAGAGAAAGAGAGAGAGAGAGAGAGAGAGAGAGAGAGAGAGAAAGAAGCAGTTTATAATTCTGTGCCTTTTAAGGATCAAAAAAAATGAAATATATCTTCATTATTAGACATGTAAAATAGCCTTAAAATGAGTTTAATCATTAAGAAATCTGAATAAACTACTTTATTATTTAAGTAAATGAATCCAAGCTATGTTGTCTCTAAGTTTTATTGTCCAGTGAGAAAGCCACTAGCCACATGTGGCTATAGAAACTTGAAATTTGGCTAGTCTTAATTGTTGAAATGATAATAATTTGGATATATTGTTTTAAATAAATATACTATAAAAATTACATTCACCTGATCCTTCTTACTTTTTTATTTGCTGCTAGAAATTTGAATATTATGTTTGTGTCTTGCATTATATTTCTATTGGATACTGCTGCTCTAGAGGGTCAAGCTTGATAATTATCCATAGAATAGATGAAACTATTATTCTAAAACCTAAATAGTTAAAAAGGATCAGATTTTTGGAAAATATTTTTTCTCTTCAGTTTAACCTTTTACTCATGTTTATAAAATTAATTAAACTAATAGATTCTTTGGCAAACAGAAATAAGAAACAATATTTTAGTGAACTGAAAAACCACAAAAGAATAGGATTTGCTATGCTTATAAACATCTATTTTAACAGTACAAATGAAATTATTAATTTTGGCTTGGATGCTTTGCCTAGGTACACATTCACTGGAATATATACCTTTGAGTCACTTATAAAAATCTTGGCAAGAGGGTTTTGCTTAGAAGATTTTACATTCCTTCGTGATCCATGGAACTGGCTGGATTTCAGTGTCATTGTGATGGCGTGAGTAATTTTCAAACTTTGATAAGCCCAAAGGAATGAAAATAGTCACAGCATAAACCAGATTGTGACATATTTTAAATGTAAAGCTTTCTTGTTAGTCATATTGACTATATACCTCATATATTTTGAGAATACATATTAGAATGTATGTTGCAAGGTAAATATATCTGGCAAATGAACAGTAAACAGAATTACTTTCATTCATAGAGTCTTTCTCTTCATCAAAATAAAATTATTCATTGAGTACAATTTAATAGCAAAAACTGTACTTTGATTAGTTTTGCAAACAAATGTGTTCATATTAGTGAAAATTACATTGTAATAAAGCAACAAAATTTTGTTTCTTAAAAGCAGCTCTCAGCATATGGCACCCTGAGATCTATAGCAATTCCATTTGTTACACCAAAGGGGCCTGTATATGCCAAACCCAGCATTAATTCCTTATTTAATATAAAATTGCCAAAACTATCAGTAACTCTGATTTAATTCGCAGGTATGTAACAGAATTTGTAAGCCTAGGCAATGTTTCAGCCCTTCGAACTTTCAGAGTCTTGCGAGCTCTGAAAACTATTTCTGTAATTCCAGGTAAGAAGAAACTGGTGTAAGGTGGTAGGCCCCTTATATCTCCAACTTTTCTTGTGTGTTATTGTGTTTGTGTGTGAACTCCCCTATTACAGATATGTGACAGAGTTTGTGGACCTGGGCAATGTCTCAGCATTGAGAACATTCAGAGTTCTCCGAGCATTGAAAACAATTTCAGTCATTCCAGGTGAGAGCTAGGTTAAACACCGAGGCTGACTTTAATTACTGAGTTTGAAATCAATTTATAATCACTTGTTGCTTATTATTCTTGCTCATCACATTTCAAGAATGCCAAATGATGTTTCAATGTCAGTTCAGTTTCTAAAATTTTAGAAATTACATGCTTATTTATAAAGTCAGCCTTTGAGTTTAACAGAAAATTGCATGAGACATCTATTAAAAATACTAATTTTGCTCTCTCACTTTCTTTGTTTCTTTTTTTTCTTTTGCTACCATGGCTTTACTAACTGACTTGGATTTTACCATTCACTGTTGATCTATTTGAAAAATGGATCTCCTTTTACAAAGGAGAAAAGATTGTTATTGAACAGCATGCATATGTCATGGAATTTTTATTATCTTAAAATTCTTTTCTCCTCTAAATTACTGCTACTTGGAGGCTAGTGTAAAGAATGGATGAAGGAAAATAGCCTCATGCAACATAAAATCTGAAATGAAAAATAACTGCAAGTTTGTCAATACATGTGCATTCAGCATGTAAAACCACACAAACAAAACTTCCTGCCTAGTTATTTAAACTTTCATATTGAACCTCCAGAAAGCACATGATTCATACTTAAAATCTGCTCTTCATCTATTTTCCAAACCATCAGGCTATCCATACAGCTTTGGTGTCTTAATAGCTAAACAATTGTTTGTAGGGGAAAGAGAATGTGTGTGACAATTAAGAAGAAATAGTGGCTTCTGGCACTCTTCCTTGGTTGACCTATAGTTCTCTCTATTCAGGTTTAAAGACCATTGTGGGGGCTCTGATCCAGTCGGTGAAGAAGCTTTCTGACGTCATGATCCTGACTGTGTTCTGTCTGAGTGTGTTTGCTCTAATTGGGCTGCAGCTGTTCATGGGCAACCTGAGGAATAAATGTTTACAATGGCCCCCAAGTGATTCTGCTTTTGAAATCAACACCACTTCCTACTTTAATGGCACAGTGGATTCAAATGGGACATTTGTTAATGTAACAATGAGCACATTTAACTGGAAGGAGTACATTGGAGATGAGAGTAAGAAGTATTGCCTCATAACATTAACCTTAGTGTTGAATGAGTTTTTAGCTATAAATAGTTGAGACTGTGGGTGTGAAGCTACCTTTGTAAATATGCTTTATGGATGTCCACTTTGGAAATAACTGAGATAGTCAAACTGATTTGTTCCTAATATGAATAGGGTTAATATGAAATAAAATAATTTGTTCTTTATATTAACAGGTCACTTTTATGTTTTGGATGGACAAAAAGATCCTTTACTATGTGGAAATGGCTCAGATGCTGGGTGAGAAATGCAATTTTTTTTTTAAATATAGAACTCTGCAAAAAAAGTAGGTAGGAAAAAATATACAAGGATAGCCTTTCATGTGAAGAGTGGTGCTGCCTACCGAGGAAATGTTTGTCTGATTTACGGGATTGCTGTTGTTCCTAAACTCACAGTCATCACATTTTTTTCTGAAGACCTTTTCCCCAGAATTTCACAGTTAAAATGTACTTAAATTATTGCTCCAATATGTAAACCTCTTCTGTAAACATTACAGATGTGTAATCTGTCTTCTCTGTAAATCCATCAGAACTCTCTAGGAAATCCAGGAAGGAAACACAAGATGGGCACATTTTGGGTATCTACTGATGAGATGAGTTTGGTTGTGACTGGAAAAGCTCTAGAATATAACATGGTCTTCAGGGTACAAGCCCACCTGGGGAACTGCTTTGAAAGATTTAGGTATTCTTGAAATAGCATGAATCCCTGTGTGCGAAGAAGCCAAGGGCACATGTATGCCAAATGCATGTCCAAATCTGAGTCTGCATACTTAATAGTTCCTGTCAGTCACATTCTATAATAAGAGATGTAATATCTTAGCCATCCTGCTAATCTCTCACCTTTAACATATTTTCTCAAGATTATTTTAAATTAAATTTTTTAAAAGCCAAGCGTAGCAATAGTAAGTGACTCTTAGGCCATAGAACTTAAATATATTTTAAATCATCCTAGAATATAGGAAACTGGTGTGTCCATAAAAATCTAAGAATGTTAATGAAAATGTATATGAGTCACATAGCTAGAGTTTTAGAGAAATTATTTTTCCCAACATTTGTGAGGTGAGAGTAGTAGAGAAGAGCATAGGTTCTAGAGGTCATGTATACCTGGGTTCAAATCCTAACTTTACCATTTGCAAACTCTTTGACCTTAGAAAAATGTCCTAGGATCTCTGTACCTCAGTTTACTCATCTTTAAAAATTGGGGGAAGTAATATTGCCTCTCTGTTAGAGTTGTTGTGGTGATTAATTATTGAATACACATAAAGCATTTATACTAGCACATGCTTTATCATAAGAATTTATTGCATGTTAACTATTATTTTAATTATTACGGTTATCATGAAAGCCCAGATAAATTTTGGATAAATTTGGTTACAATGCATACTTCATTTCTGTTGAAGCATAATAATCACTTCCCTTTAATAAGATTCTCCTATGGATCAAGTAATTTACATGGCAAAATTAATAGCCCTCTAATGTTAAATGTCAAATAAAATTCTAAATACATCTACCCAAATTCTAGACTTCTTACAAGGTTACAGTAACCAGACAGTATGGTGTTGGTGCAAGAATCGGTATATAGATCAATGAAATAGACTCAAGAGTCCCAAAATTGACTCACACAAATATAATCAACTAATTTTTGACAAAGAAGCAAATGCAATTTTTTGGAGGAAGAAAAGTATTTTCAACAAATTGTGCTGGAACAAGTAGAGATGCATATGCAAAGAAATGAACCTAGATACAGATCCTTTATCTTACCCAAAAATTAACTCAAAATAGATCATATACCTAAATGTAAAATACGAAACTTCTTTAAGAAAATATATAATAAAATCTACATAACTTTGGGTTTGGTGATGAGTTTTTAATACAAAACCAATGGAATATTCCATGAAAGAAAAAAATAGTAAGTTGGATTTTATTAAAATTACAAACCTCTGCTCTACAAAGACTCTCTTAAAAGAATAAGACAAGCCACAGACTGGGCTGTTAAAATGCAACAGTAAGAAAACAAATGACATAAAACTGGCAAAAAACATGAACAGATAAATAGCTTACAAAAGTATATAGTACAGATAGTTAATAAGGATATAAAAAGATGCTCAACATCATATGTCATTAGGGAATTGCAAATTAAAACAATAAGTTACCACTATACACCTATTAAAATGACTAAATCCAAAAAAAGCAGGCAGTACCAACTTCTGGTGAGGTTACAGAACAAGACACTTTCATTCTTTGCTGGTGGAAATGCAAAATGTTACAGCCTCTTTGGAAGACAGTTTGGCAGTTTCTTGCAAAATAAACCCAGTCTTACCATATGATCCAATAATTGTACTGCTGGGTATTTAGCCAACCACTTTGAAAACTTACATCTGCACAAAAACTTGCATGTGAATGTTTATAGAAGCTGTATTCATAATTACCAAGATGTCCTTCAATCGGTGAATGGATAAATAAACTGTTATATTTATATGATAAAATATTATTCAGTGATAAAAAGAAATGAGCTATGAAGCCACAAACAAACAATGATGAATCTTAACCACTTCAGTACCATGCTCACCGGCTGCGAAACCTTGCCCACAGCCGGCACTCATAGTCCGCACGATAGTTTGTGCTGTGCATTGACGACGAATCCATTTTGCTCTTGTGTGATGAGGAAAGCTTTAAAGCACTGAAAGCTTGTTTTACTCTACAGGCAGCTCTACTTGTAATGTAAATCAGAATAGGGAACGTATACATATATGTTTTCATTATGTTATTTTTAAATGTTCCCAATTTTATTGTGATAAATGAAAAACTAGAGAAGTCATATCACGGCTATCAGCTAAAGTCACTGTGCGGTTCATCTGTGGCTGTCGACTATAGTCGACGCTGGTCCCAAAGTGGTTAAATGCATATTTCTAAGTGAAAAAAAGCCAACCTCAAAAAGCTGCACACTGTATAATTCCAACTACAGGACGTTGTGGAAGAGAGTATACAGTGGAGATAAGATCAGTGTTTAACAGGAGTTTAGGGTGAGAGGCTGACAAGGTAAAGCACAGGGGATTTTTTTAGGCTGAAGAACCTATTCTCTAGGATTCTATAATGGTGAATATGAAACATTAAGTATTTTTTAAAACTCATACAACTTTATAATACAGAGTTAATCTTAATGTATACAAATGTTAAAAATATCTTTTGTGAAGTTTGGAGACCACAGGATGAAACACAGAATGTGACAAAAATATCCAAATATATTACAAACGTACAAAACACCTTCACCCCAGCAGGTGGGGTAATAACATGCTAACCTAAGTAACTTTGGAAATGAGTCAGTAGGACTAAAGGCAAAAAGAACAGTGCTCTAGTTGATAAAGTTGTTTTCCATGATAGTAAGGATTAACAATCTTGAAAACATTATGCATGTATATTGACATTCAGCAAGTAAGTTTACAAACATATTTCTCCTTGTTCTTTCAGCTAAGAGGGCCTAGAAGCAGTGACACCCCAGTAGCAACAAACATAACTAGCACCAGATCTTTTTTTGTCATACCATTCCCCAATAAAAGGAACCTGTATTCCTTGGAGAAATGGTTGATTCTAGGACTGGGGTTGAAAATATAAAAGATGTACCTGGAGCATCTTATAGTGCCCCAAAGTAAGAAAATGCTAAAGAAGAAACAAACAAATAAAAACAAAACACACACAACTATGGGGTATGTCAAACTGATACAAGTGTCAACTGAAAAACTAATGACCAAAGATGCAGAAATTTGAGCAAGAAGAGAAATAAAATGTCATTGGATTATAATTCAAAGTATAAAATGAGTAACCATGACTACCTGCTAATATAAATAAATGATTAAATAAATAAATAAAATAGGGATAATGGAAAAATATCCCATACAGAAGACGTTCAAATAATTTTTGTACATACTTTACCCTTAAGGAAATCATAATTGCCTCTTCTTTAAATGGGGGCTTCACATAGTGACTTTATTCCAAAGAGTATAGTATGAAAAAGGAAGAAAAAAGTATAAATATACAGTGGAGAAGGCTAAAAAAAAAAACCCCACCTCAAGTCAGGTGATGAGAGTTAACATCAATAATGATAACTCCTAGTGATAAGTATATACCCTTAACATGATGTAATAATAATGCTACTTTACCTCTGTAGTCTTCCACCCCAAAATTCCTAAACCCAATACAATCATGAGAAAAACATTAGACAAATCCCATTTGAAGGCATGCTACAAAATACCTGACCCTAATACTCCTCAAAACTGTTGGGATCATCAAAAACAAGGCAAGTCTGAGAAACTTTCACAAACAAGAGGAGCCTAAAGAGACAAAGCCACTAAATGTAATGTGTATCCTGTATGGGATCCTGGAACAGAATAAGAATATTAGGAAAAACCTAAAGAAATCTGAGTAAAGTATGGACTTCAGTTAATAATAATGTATCAATATTGGAAATTTGGCATGGGATATATGGGAAGTCTATATTCACAATCTTTCTGTAAATCTAAAATTTCTCTAAAATAAAAATTTTATTTTAGAAAACTCTACAGAACTTTTTTGGCTAATAAAATAGCTCATTAAGCTCATAACTACTTAATGAGCTATTTTCTGGTTTTTAATTTTTAATTATTGATTTTTGCCACTTTGGAAAGAGTAGAATAATGACGGTGGCAGAGCCAAAAGTATGTGGTTGCTAGCTCTCTGCCATTGTAAATGTCTGTGAATTTGACTCCTTTGCACCTAAATCTTCTGTTGGTTTTCCTAATAAATTTCATCTGATAAATTTCACTGTGAACAACAACGTAAAATATTCTGGAAATGAAAGAAGATGATTCATCATAGATAACAACTCTGGGTTTTGAAAATTTCTATAAATCAAATCAGTTGAAATTGCTATAGTTTCTATGCCCACCTTACCTCCATTTCTCTCTCTTACAGCCAGTGTCCAGAAGGATACATCTGTGTGAAGGCTGGTCGAAACCCCAACTATGGCTACACGAGCTTTGACACCTTTAGCTGGGCTTTCTTGTCTCTATTTAGACTCATGACTCAAGACTACTGGGAGAATCTTTATCAGTTGGTAAGGTCCAAATTAACATGCATAGGATTTATTTTTATGATCATAGATAAAATGACAAGTGTGGATACTTGCTCATAACACTCTGAAATCTAGAGGGTCTTTGCCTAGAATCTTAATTGATCATTAGGAATCCTAATCAATCCTAATTGATTATATGAAAGGCATTCTGCTAGGGGGGTATGGGGGATGCAAAGTATGTTCACAACTTTGAGGAGTTTATAATCCAGTTGTGGAGATAAAAACATGTTAAAAGATCTTTTAAATAAATTGTATAAAAATTTCAGATTAAAGCTATAGCTAATCAAGTCTAGAAGAAAAGGGAAGAAAGACATCTCTAGATGGTATGGACAGTGGGCTGCAATGTAAGTGGAACTCCACTGGCAACAATGAAAGATACAGTGCTCTCACTTGTCATATTGCCCCACATTATGAACCCCAATAACAGCATTTAAGTGAGTCTCAAATATATATTCAGTATCTACTAATTTGAGATATGTTTATGTCAAATGAGACTGCAGTCAAGCTTTAGATAATTTGATTATTATTTTTGTATGTTGAACATTTTAACACCAAAAATATCTTGATCAAGATAAATTGGATACTAAAAAGCATCAATTTCCTGACTGTCAAAATCAGATCTCTATCTGGGTACGTTATACTAATATACTTACGGAATTAACCCTTTTTTCCCCTAGACGTTACGTGCTGCTGGAAAAACATACATGATATTTTTTGTCCTGGTTATCTTCTTGGGTTCCTTTTATTTGGTGAATTTGATCCTGGCTGTGGTGGCCATGGCCTATGAGGAACAGAACCAGGCCACCTTGGAAGAGGCAGAACAGAAAGAGGCTGAATTTCAGCAGATGCTTGAACAGCTTAAAAAGCAACAGGAAGAAGCTCAGGTACTGAATGATAATAACATAAGTTTATTATTATTTTTGGTTTCTATTTGGGAATATTGTTGTACTATAGAGGTCAAATTGGAATTGGCTTTTCATTTTATCTACAGACATTGTGTCATTAGAAAAGAGAAAGCGATTCAAACCTAAAATTGTTTCTGAAGTTGGATTCAAAGGCACTTTTCAGGCATTATGTATAAAGAAATCAGCTGGTGGGTAGTGAATACATTAGGGATAAGTTTTACTATGCAATTGTCTTATGAAACTAAGGAAGGGATTTAAGTTTAAGTTTAAATTAGAAAAGAAACTGATATTTCCCAGTATTAGTGTTTCACCCCTAATTATGACATTTGACATTTTATTCTGAAGTTAATTGATCTCAAATGTTAACAAGAAAACTTTATGCATACTTATGCTTAGCTATTCTTTGGGATTTCTGTAGTACAAAAGGTGTTTGCTATAGCCCATATCAGGATATTAGGAAGGAATCTGAAGTTAGATGCCAACAATATGTTTTTATTAATATTAAAAACTGTTTGGGTTAGGGGTATAGTGAATGGGATATTCATGTATTGAGAAGAGAGAGAAGCCCAGAATTCTATTAAAAGGGGGAAAACTCCATATATTGAAAGATGATCTTGGGGAGACATAGTAAAAATATGATTAATATCAGTTGAATTCTTCTACATTTGCCAATATTTCGTATGGTCAGTCATTTTAATTTTAGTCATTCTAATGAGTGTCTCATTGCTGAGTTAATTTTCATCTTCCTAATTACTAATGATGTTGAGCATCTCTTCCTACTCATATTTCCATCTGGATAGCTTCTTTTATGAAGTGGTTGTTCAAATCTTTTCTCATATTTTTAGTTTTTTTTCTTATTCTTTAGATTTGAGTGTTCTTTTATATTCAGAGTATGAGTTATTTATCATATATGTGCTCTACAAATATTATCTCCCAGTCTGAGACTTACCTTCTAATTCTCTTGACAGTATGTTTTAAGAGCAAAAGTTTTTTAAAATTTTGATGAAGTACAATTTATCAAGCTAATTGTTTTTTGGCTTTCTTTTTAAATTATGCTTTTGGTGTTACATCTGAAAAATTTTTGAAAAACCAACACCACAAAGATTTTCTCCCATATTTTCTTCTAAAGTTATATAGTTTTATGTTTTACGTTGAGATCAATGACCCATTTTAAGTTCATTTTTGCATTAAATACAAGTTATATGTCGATATTCACTATTTTTTGTTTATTTAGTATATGAGTATCTTATTATTCTAACGTCATTTGTATAACAAAATATCCTTTCTCCACTAAATTTCCTTTAAACCTTTGTCAAAAATCAATTGTCCAAATGTGGGTGTCTATTTTGGAACTCCATTCTCTTCAGTTGATTTATTTGTCTCTCTTCACATCAATACTACACTCCCTTAATTAGTGTAGTTTTACAACAAGTCTTGAAATCTGATAGTATAGCCCTCCAACTTTTTTTTTCAAAGCTCTTTTAGCTATTCTAGGTCCTTTGCAGTTCCATATGGCTTTTAGAATCAGTTCGTCAGTTTCAGTTGGCTGGTTTCTACTGCTATGTCTTCAAGTTTATTATCTTTTCTTCTGCAATATCTATAATCTGCCATTAATCCCATCAAGTATATTTTTCATCTCGGACATTATAGTTTTCTTCTCTAAAAGCATGATCTGCTTCTTTTTTATATATTTCCCATGTCTCTAAGTAACATTTTCAACATACACAATATAGTTATAACAACTGTTTAAATTCCTTGTTTGCTAATTCTAACATCTCTGCCAGTCCTTAGTCAGTTTGGATTAATTTTTCTCTTTATTATAGGTCATACATTCCTGCCTTTTTACATTCCCAACAATCTTCAGTTGAATTCCAGACACTGTCAATTTTACTTTTTTGTGTGCTAGATATCTTTGTATTCTTATAACAATTCTTGATCTTTGTTTTGGGATATAGTTATGTCATTTATAAATTGTCTGATTCTTTTATACCTGCAAACCTTTAAAGATTTGTTAGTTAGGACCAGAGCACCATTTAGTCTAAGGCTAATTATCCCCCAATACTGAGTGAAGACCCTTCCAAATACCCTACCCAATTCCCACTTAAAAAGAAGTCCTTTCCAAGTGTAGCTGGTAGAAACAGGCAATATTTGGGCACAGTGTGCATGCTGGGTGGTATTCCCTCTAATCCTTGGCCTCAGATAGTTTCCCAACACACATATATTGATGAATATGCTTCTCAGAACCCAAGGGGGACCTCAGAAGATCTCCAGAGTTTTCTCCCTGTTCAGCTCTGTCCTCTATAGTACTCTGTCCTGTGAACCAAGCCACCTTGGTTTTCCAAGACTCTTAGTTTCATCTCCTCCTCTAAACTCTATGTGTATGTAGACTCTATCTACAGAGATATTCTCTCCTCACACCATAGTCTGGAAGTTGAATGCCATAAGCTAAGAAGATCATGGAGCTTGCTTTCCTTCTTTCCCATTTCCCAATATCTCATGACTTCCTGATCGGATGTTCAGTTTCTTCAAAACCATTGTTACATGTATTTTGCCTGTTTTATTAGTTGTTTCAGAAGAGAGTGCAGATCGGGTCCCTATTACTCTATCTTGGCCAGAAGCAAAAGTCCAAATAATTTTTTACATATTTTTTTGCATTTTTTTCAGATGAATGGTTCCAGATACTTGAAGTATTATTTGAATGACAGTATACACTTGGAATTTGTGGGTTCAAAATTTAAGTTTTTAACAATTCTGAGTTACTTTGAATATGTACAACATATAGCACTAGGTCCTTTGAGGCATTTTCTGGTGAAACAGAGATATAGCTATGAGTTGCTTAGCTAGTTATTGAGCTTGATAATAGACTTAGCATTTACTGAACATTCTGGCTTTGCTATTTTCATCTTACCATTGGGTACAGAATAGTAACATGGTTATATTTTATTAAATTTATAAAAAAAACTATAAACAAATTTAGTGATATTTGAAAATTTTATAAAATATCCCCCCTTGCGAGAAAGGTCTACCATATTTCAATTATTTAGGATTTTTATTTCATATCACTATAAATAAAACACATTTGTAAAATAATGAAATAAAACAGTTTACAGGGCAAAAACATTTTTAATTCAAAGTTTTAAATAAACATTATAGGGAATAATATTTATAAATGATATGTAATTGTATTTTAAAGCACCAGGTTATTCTATTATCATTTATCAAATCAGACAAAGTATTGTGCTTGAAAATCCTCCACAGATAACACAGTATAGGAATAAGTTTATTGTGAAATGCAGCCACTTTAGAGTATAATATGGCATCAATTAAAAGAGTATAATCTTTTTGAATTTAGAAGTGAAAGTGCACTATGTCTAATAAATGTTTAAAGAACCTAATTATCCATATCATGATTAGGTCAGCTAGAAAGCATCAGTTCTGTTACTTAATAGTCTGTTATTGGATTCCAGTGACCAAATCATCATGATTAGACTCAGCTTTAGTTTTATATGTACAAATTTTAAATTGATCTAAGGTTCTCATACTGATCGAGATGGCACAGTGCCAAATCCATTTTAGTTTCTTATTGACGACACAGGTTATGATGACTGGTAAACAGGCAATGCTGAAGCACAGGAGAGAGCTGAAGGCAGAGAGTTAGTGCAACTATGAGGCCATTTGTGCTGCAGTATAGCTTAAGTCTTGCTAACCACCTCTGACTCTTCACAAGTTACTGTCTAGCCAGTGACTTCATGAAGCCTGGCATCACTTCCAGTTTTATTTAATGTCTGTGTGGGCCCCCCCAGTGCCAGTCATTACGTAGACATGAAAAAATGACATGGAGAAAGACAAACTCCACAAAGAAATAAATGTTTTGTCCTAGATCATCTTGTGTTTGACATTTAACTTGTGATCTTTAAATGCTAATCTTAGCTTAGCATATTCCATAGCAGTCTATATTGGTCTTATAGGAGAAAGTTGAGGAGTAAACATTAGGACAAAGTTAGGAATAGTGGCATTTAAAAGATCTAATATAATCGGGGGTAGACTTGAAATAGATATAGTTAATGTCTTGCAGCTTTGAATGGGATTTTAACTGGATTTTATGTGAAAAACAAATGATTAGTCATGTGGTTATATTTTTAAGGACATATAGATACAGTGAGTTGTAGAACGTATGTTGAATCATACAGAAATGTTATAAGAAAATGTTCTGTATATAAATATTAGGCACAAATTTGTTATTTGTACAAGAGGAACTGAGCAAGTCGGCTGTGAAAGTAACACTATATTCTGAGTAAGCAGGACATTGCAGTGTCACAGAGTTGGGTATAAACAGGTACACAAACATGAGAGATGACAGGAAACATCTGCCTTTGAGGGAATCGGCAAATCACTGGAAGTGGAACAAGTGACAGATTTGAGTTGATGAGTGACACGTAAAATGTGTTGTGTCGGAGGTTACCTTTGTTGCCTTAGAAAACTGTTTTGGTTTTGAGCTATTCGAACTGTTATTCAGAATAGGTAGGGAAATCATGTCTTATGCAAAACAAAGTTCGGAAGTGATTTAAATGAACATAAATTTCAGGATTATGGTAAGGGAATATTACCACCACTTCCTTTGTTTCTAGGGACAAACAAGTCAATAAACAATTAACACTGGGTGTTGTGTGTTTGTAGCCATACGACATGGAAACGAGAAGGACTGTATTTGGATAAAAAAGGATATATGTATATTCTCTCTTTCAACAAATGATACATATTATGGACCTCCTATGTAACAAGCACTGTGTAACTATATTTAACTTGCAACACATAAGTACTTCATTTATTCACTTTATTTTACTTATATAGTCATACTTACAAAGAGTCCTTAATATTTTTCGTCTCTCACAATGGATTATATTAGAAGTGATACTGATGATCAAGACTGCAGTAAAAAATCTGGCTATATGAGTATATGAAATTTTAAGAATATGCAGATTCTGATTAGTGTTTCATTTAAATGCTGGGTGTTGTCTTATAGCAAGTCTTAGATTTGGGTTCCCATAATGAATATTATGCTCAATGTCAACAAATACCTGTGTCACATTTTATGTGTTGCACAGTTCAACACATAAATTTAGCACTGTAATACGCTCCCTAAATTCATTTTAATCCTAGAGAATTTGTAGCATAGTACCTTCAGTTTTAAAAACTTTTTTTAAATTTTTTTTTTTTGAGACAGAGTCTTGCTTTGTTGCCCAGGCTAGAGTGAGTGCCGTGGCATCAGCCTAGCTCACAGCAACCTCAATCCTACTGCCTCAGCCTCCCGAGTAGCTGGGACTACAGGCATGCACCACCATGCCCGGCTAAGTTTATCTATATATATTAGTGGCCAATTAATTTCTTTCTATTTATAGTAGAGCAGGGTACCTCTTGCTCAGGCTGGTTTCGAACTCCTGACCTAGAGCAATCCGCCCGCCTCGACCTCTCAGAGTGCTAGGATTACAGGCGTGAGCCACCGCGCCTGGCCAGTTTTAAAAACTTTAAAAAATTTTAGTTAATGAGGTTCAAAAATGGAAGCTACTAAGGAAGAGTTTGCTGCTTCTTCTCAGTAAGGAAGAAACATAGAGCACAAAGTGTTGTCAAATTAGTTTTATCTTTATTCCCTCTTAAAACATGTTGTTGTTATAAAAGACCATTTTGACACAGACTCTTTTATGAGATCTAAGCATGCCTTGATCTCCCTCTACCTCTACTCCAGTGTCTGAGACAGTTGACAGTAAAATGCCTTTTAAATCTTTATTCACCAATCATTTACGGAGCCCTTTTTATGTCAGGTGACATACCAGGCACTGCACATACAAACAATGACACAATTCTGATCTAGCTTACAGTTGTGGCGGGGGGAAGATAGACAAAATGGTAGATAAATTAGGGTTGATTGTATTCAGTAATGACATCTGTAAAAAGCTTAATCAACATTCTCATAATTTGATTATTTCCATTTCTGCAGTTATATTTTAAAAACAGGAACATACCTAATGAAAACTCAGCTTTGATATGTACCATATTGTCATTTCATGTCCGTTCTATGTCATGGTTAGATCATTTCCAGTCTAAAAATACTATTCATGAAGATGAAAGTACAAAACACCTCAGAACTGGTTGTGTTTCATGAGTAGGTACAGAAACTCAAAATGCTTAAAAATACTTAGTTCTGAAATAGGGAAAAAGAAATCTGAACTAGTTCTCATAATATCTTGAATGATTATTTTGGGAATTTATTCATTGGTAATTTGATTATCTGTTATTTATAATAATAAATAGTTTGTAAACATCAAAAATTTTAAGACTAAAAGTGCTTTGTAATAAATTCTCTGGGAATAACATGACCCCAGAGATGTGAACTATAGTCCTAAATGTAATTCAAATGAAAAACAAGGATAAACTAGCCAATTCATTCCCACTACTTCCATCTAGAGGTAAAATAATAGACTTTAAATGTTTTGAGTTCATAAAAAAAGAAAAGAAAAAACCCTTTTCCCAAGATTTAAAGGGAAAAAATACCACTCAGTTGTTCATGATTATACAGGAAGGAAAAATCCTATGGTTGAAAATGGAATGGTAATCAGATGAAGCAAACACCACTAGGATAAGTTTTGTTTTTTAAAGTATAAAAGATACTTTAAGAGAACAATTGTCCCTTGAACAAAGCTAATCTTATCATAGTTAAAAAAAAAAAAAGGCAATCCAGGAGGTATATAAAACCAGACCTTTTTTGCCTTAATGCATACGCTAGCATATTGCTTTATGATATTTAAAATGTAAGGGTGATTTTTTTTTAATTTCAGAGTATTATGGGGGTACAAATGCTTTGGTTACACAAATTGCCTTTGCACCACCTGACAAGCGAACCAATCTCCCAGACAGCTTAAACTGCATCCATTAGGTGCGGATTTACCCATCTCTTTCTCGCCCCACCACCTGCCCGACACCCTATGAATGTTACTTCCCATATGAGCACGTTAGTGTTGATCAATTATTAATAGTACCAATTTAATGGTGAGTACATGTGGTGTTCATTTTTCCATTCTTGTGATACTTCACTTAGAAGAATGGACTCCAGCTCCCTCCAGTATAATACAACAGTAGTTTGTCATTTTATGGCTGAATAGTACTCCATGGTATACATATACCACATTTCATTAATCCACTCATGTATTGATGGGCACTTGGGTTGTTTCCATATCTTAGTGAATTGTGCTGCTATAAACATTTGAGTGCAGATGGCTTGTTTATAGAATGTCTTTTTTTTCCTTTGGGTAGATACCCACTAGTGGGATTGCTGGATCAAATGGTAGTTCTACTTTTAGTTCTTTAAGGTATCTCCACACTATTTTCAATAGATGTCGTACTAATTTGCAGTCCCACCAGCAGTGTATAAGTGTTCCTATCTCTCTGCATCCATGTCAACATTTGTTGTTTTGGGACTTTTTGATGAAAGCAGTTCTCATTGGAGTTACATGATATCTCATTGTGGTTTTGATTTGCATTTCCCTAATGATTAGAGATGTTGAGCAATTTTTCATATGTTTCTTGGCGATTAGTCTATCTCCTTTTGAAAAGTTTCTGTTCATGTCCTTTGCCCACTTTTTAATGGGGTTGTTTGGTTTTTTTCTTGCTCATTTTTCTGAGGTCTATATAAATTCTAGTTATCAGCCCTTTGTCAGATGTATAAACTCTTGTGATAAGACAAAATAAAGACCAGAAGACTTAATTTGCACTTATAGTTAATAGTCTTAAATGGCAACATTTGCACCATAGTCAACTGTTTTCAGAGTTCTATGTTCTAATTAGTGCCTGGCTTTGTTTTACAACAGGCAGTTGCAGCAGCATCAGCTGCTTCAAGAGACTTCAGTGGAATGGGTGGGTTAGGAGAGCTCTTGGAAAGTTCTTCAGAAGCATCAAAGTTAAGCTCCAAAAGTGCTAAAGAGTGGAGGAACCGAAGGAAGAAAAGAAGACAGAGGGAGCATGTAGACAGAAACAACAAAGGAGAGGGAGACAGGTTTCCCAAATCTGAATCTGAAGACAGTGTCAAAAGAAGAAGCTTTCTTTTCTCCATGGATGGAAACCGACTGAGTGGCGATAAGAAATTCTGCTCCCCACATCAGGTAAGTCTTCTGGTTGGTTTGTCGTTGCTATTGCTTTGGAATTGCTGTATTTTATTTTGGTACATTTTTGCAATATCTGATTTCAGTGAGCTATGGGGACTAACATTTAGTATGGTTATTTAAATTCTTATGGTAACTTACAATAAGAATTTAAATCAAAAGGAATTTTTTATTCAACTGTTAATTTTTTATCAAAAGTGATTTTTTTATTAAACTGCTAATAACTTCTAATTTAAGGTATTCAGCTTTAAACATTTTACTATTTTGAGACCATGTTTCTTAATCTCTTCTTTTTATCTTTTGGGCACAACCTACTTATCAGATTTTTCAGTGAGACAGATTTGGAATCTTTTGTTTATATTTTTCATTTTGAGACCTCAGATAAACTTATCTTCTTTGTGTGTGGGTGTCTGCCTTTATCATCTGAGGTTGTGACTATAACCTATGTATAAATTTTGAAAGGAAATGTCTCTTTGGATTTTGCCTTTATCCTTTGATATGAGAACTGTACTGTGGTGAGTCTCCATTATTCTGGTATAGGGTCATAACATGATACATTGGAATGAAATTATGACCTAAATGCTCTTTAAAAGGACAACATTGAAAGTGGTCTACTTTTGCTTTGATTTAATGCCAACTACCCAATTTTTCAATATATTTTCAAGCAAAAGAGGAAACATCAGTTTCAACTTTTTGTTGTTTAGTAAGTGTTATGGGTTAGTAAGCTAATATATTCTTTACATTTGCATGATGTAAGGAATAGTTATGAAATCTGTGATAAGAATAATTAAAACTTTGAATACTATTTGGTTTCATTCAAATTTCATGTGCTATGAATTATAAACTCTTCTAATCATATTAATCTTATTCAGAGTTATACCCTAAAAATAATGCATTGAGAGATACTCTTGATTAATTTAAATCAAAAAAATTATATAGCAACCAAAAGGTATGATATCCTTTTTATAAAGAAAAAAAAATTTTTGTAGATGTGATAAACACAAAATTCAATATAGTATTTAGCTCTTGGTTGGGAGGAAAGGGGGTATGCATGTTATCAGTGATTGTTTATTTTATAATTTATATTTAATATGTAAATACAAATTTTTAAAGAAAATATATTAATAACTTAAGGCTAGTATTCTCATATTAGCACAAAATAGATGGGAACGCACAGTTACGAGATAAAAACCATTTTCCTATAGAGAATATCAGTATCAAGAGATTCAACTACTACTATCTTGTATAATACAAATATAAAATATGGTATTATATCAGTATAACACATTTGGGATTAACTTGAAGATCTGGAGGGCAACTCAGTTTCTCAGACCATTTTTTTTCTTTTGGCTTAACCAGTCACCCCTGATATTTTCTCATTCTTAAAATTATTAGGAGTGATTAGGATTAGGAATATTTGATACTATAGCATAATGATTGGTGTCACAAAAGTTTTCATATATATCTCAACTCCAAACTCGTTCTGTGACCTTGGTCTAGTCACTTTGTAAAGTTTCTGTTAAGTTAAGGTAATAATGCCTGTCTTACAGAGTTTTGAGGCACTAAGCAATATATAGAAAACCTAGATAACAAAGAATAAATCTATTATTGAGTTAAAATGGGTGAATGAATTCTAAATGGGGAAACAAAACTTCGAATAGCTTCAATTACAAATGGATATGCATAGTAGCAATATTTACATGAACATATTTACTTGAATTTGACAATAGTATTATTTCCTTTATTATTTCGTCATTGTGCTCAAAGGAAAACTTGTGGATTAGTTCATTCAATCAATAAATATCTATTGATCACCTACTACATGACAGAAATTGTTCTAGATGCTGAAAATACCTCAATGAACAAAAGAGATTCAATTCACTGACCTTGTGGAACTTTTCCTAAAGGAAAAGACAGATAATAAGCAACATAAATAAGTTATAAACTATGATAGAAGGTGATAAGTACAGACAATAAACAATATAAATAAGGTATAGACTATGTTAGAAGGTGTTAAGTGCTATAAGGAGAAAAAAGTAAGAAAAGGAGAACAGGGTCCATAATTGGCAATAAAATTTTAAATAGAGTGTTTTAGGAAAGTCTCACTGTGAAGGAGGCATTTTGGCAAAGATTTAGAGGAGGCAAGGGAAGGGACTATCTTACGGAATAGCATTGCTGGCTGATGGTAAAGAAAGTACAAGGCCCCAACATGGCAGTATGGCTGGAATGTTAAAGGAGCAAGTAGGAGGCCTGGGTTGCTAGAGCTGAATGAACAACAGAGGGGCAAAGCAGAGGGAGGTTAAGTGATGGCCAGAGTTTTAATACTAAAAACAGAATCAGCACATACATATGTTATAGGTAGTTCATTTTATATTTGTAGATAGATAGATGATAGATAGATAATTTCAAAAGTAAAAGAAATAACCTATTAGCATTCAATTTGCATATCTCAGTAAAGAAAGGCAGAGAGCATTAATGCAACAAACAAGCAGAAATATGCCAGAAGGAGCTTCCAATTTCTGGTTTTGTAAACACGAAAGGACTCTCCTTGGTAGGAAAGAGAGTCAGTGAAGGTGGTGAGGACAGGAAGCATAAAATAGACATGAAATACTGCTCAAAACAAATGCATCTTCTGAAAACGTCAAAGTAGAGAGCATAAATTATGAGTACGCTGCCCTCTACTAACATAAATTTTAAATGTTATTTTAGGCTTATTATATTATTTTAGTTTAAGTAGATAATACAAGTTTATAGTATGAAATAAAAAGTACTTAAAGGTGTACAATGAACACTGAAAATACTAAGTATTTCCAACAAATATTCGCCTTATATATTTCCACCAGAACATCTTAAAATTCCCTGCCTCTTCTTGCATCTTGACTTTTCCCAACCCACTTTTAGTCAAGCCCTACATGCAGGATTGAGTCTTACAGATCTAATTTCTTTTATTTTCCCTTTTGTTACTGAAAATTAAGAAAAAGCCTGTATTTATTTTCCTGGAACAAGATAAAAAATATATATACCTGTGATATTAGTTTGGGCATGTCTGAGGCAAAGAAATATGTCTTTCAGTCCTTAAAGTATAAAAGCTGGTTTTCCCTAGAGAAAGTATTGCCACAGCTGTGGGTATTCCCTCCTCTCTGCTGCATCTTCTAGTGTGTTATTTTTGGTTTATTTTCTCTGAATACTATTTTTGTTATCTTCTTTTTTCGTCTCTGTTGCCTTGAAAGCTGTACTCACACCCATTATTATACATTCCAGAGAGTGAATAGAAGTTTCAAATAAGCTCAAGGATCTGGAACGCTTTTGAAAATACCCTGGCATAACAACATGCAAATTAAAGGCATGTACCAAATACATTATGTATGTACACACGTACCACAGAACCCCATCCAATTTGTGCAGACAGATTTTCAGTTTCCAGAGACAATTTCATGACATAGGTATAGTAAGGCGATTACATTGAATGATACTACAAATGAGTATATGACCAAGTTAGTATTTCTCTGAGTGTAGGGTGAGGTTCACCTGGAATGTGTGTGAAAAATTCAGATTCCAGTATCCTACCTCCTCCTTACTGAATCCCAATTCCAAAAGCTGAGAGCAAAAAATATGTATTTTTAACTCTCACAGTGATTCACATACACACTAAAGCTGCAAAATAGTATTAATAGTTCTGAATATAACCAATATTATATCGATAATTTAAATTGAGTCTAAGAAAATTAAAAGCAGTAGCATTCTTTATTAATGAAGGGGTGAATTAATTTCTTCACATGGTCCAATCCCTTGGTCACTTTGCTAAGAAATCAGTCTCCTGTCTGGCATTCAGTAGATTGACTTGCTCCAAGAATTGATTGTCACACAGACACAGGTTCAGGCTGGACAAGCTGGGTAGCCAATAGTTCCTGTGGAGCATCTAACCAAATCCAAAGGAGCACTGCACTTCTTAATGAATATATATCTTACCAGAATATCACTGAGACAGAGGGCAGCAAAGATTATTCTGGTACCTTACGGTCTTGGGAAAAGCCATAAAAATAAAGTTAAAAATGGGGCCTAAGAAAATCAGCATGACCTAATTAGGCAGAAGAACCAAAAATAAATTTGCTAGAGTCTGCCTTTTTTGATTTTTTTTCCACTAAGATTATTTTATTTGGTTTTACACTAAAGCTTAGAAGAAGAAAGGGAAAGTCCAGAAATGTTTGCTGTTGGCACTTACATATGTATGCATATGTATATGTTTGCATATGTGTATGTATATGTATGGATGTAGATTTCCTTGGCTGTGAAGATAGGAAAGGGAATGAGAGACCAAGGAGAGGGAGCAAGGAGAAATGTCATTAATGATGACGGGAGAAAGCAAACACTCTGGAGACTGAATAGAGATGTTTCTACAAACCATCTGCGAGACTAGAACAAACACAGAATTATTTGGCGTTGCTAGTTTAAAATCCATTCAGAAAGTAGAAGAAGGAGCTTCGAGCTAACTCCTCATTTTCTGGTACTAGAAAACAGTTTACATGACTTATTTGTGAATATCTGTAACGAAAAATGTTTTGAATCATCTAGTTCTTTTTCATAAATTAAAATGAAATTAGAAGAATAAGCTGTCTTCTACATCATCTTCTTTGCTAAAGTCGTGTTATATGTTATGCTTTTTAAAGCTCGTGTTAACTTTCAAAGCAGAAGAGTAATTTATGTAGCATTTTAGGAATCCTCTCTGTTGTGTTTGCTATGACTTATAGTCTCTCAAATAAGACAGTTGACATTTGGAAAACTGTTAGCAAATTGGGAAGACAACATCACAGGTAAGTTTCGTGACTTCAATTCTCATGTGTAGAGAGACAAACAGTTCCAGAGAATAAACTAATTTCCTTTCAGAATCCAAAAGAAGAGGATGGAAAGATAATAGTTTTTTAAAAATACTTATTCAGAGGTAAAATATTTGCCACAGATATTTTAAATTTGAGCCAGCAGTCTCACTTGGGCTGAAACTTATTGTCCAGGTTGTGTGCTCTTAAGATCATAGCATTGAGAAGTGGAAGCTACCTACTTATTAGTTGTTTAACCACTGCTCCCACCAAAAAGAATGATTTATCCCTTCCAGCTTCTGGTCCCTCCTCTATAGTATTATGGTAACACAATCTACCTAACAATATGGAAGTGAAGATTAAATGAAGTGGTTGTATGCCTCGTAAATTGCAAACCAGGATTCTTAGTCAGAAAAACACTGTTTGCACTTAAATTTGCTTTAATGAAAATATCAAAACATATATGTTTTTGATATACTTGATTACCCACGTTTAAGAGCAAAACTCTTCTAACCCAAAAGCAAATCAATTCTGCCATATTAAGACTTTTATTAAATAATTATGTTCCCAACCCCCCCCCGCCCCCAATTCCTTTCTTCCTTGCTTTCTCCTTAGTCTCTGTTGAGTATCCGTGGCTCCCTGTTTTCCCCAAGACGCAATAGCAAAACAAGCATTTTCAGCTTCAGAGGTCGGGCAAAGGATGTGGGATCTGAAAATGACTTTGCTGATGATGAGCACAGCACATTTGAAGACAGCGAAAGCAGGAGAGACTCACTGTTTGTGCCGCACAGACATGGAGAGCGACGCAACAGTAACGTTAGTCAGGCCAGTATGTCATCCAGGATGGTGCCAGGGCTTCCAGCAAATGGGAAGATGCACAGCACTGTGGATTGCAATGGTGTGGTTTCCTTGGTGGGTGGACCTTCAGCTCTAACGTCACCTACTGGACCACTTCAGCCAGAGGTGATAATAGATAACCTAGCTACTACTGACAGTTTGCACAAATTTGAAATAAAGCCTGGGCAGTTTAGCCTGATAGATGTCCTGCTTCCCCAAAGTGAAAGTCCTTAAAAATAATACATGATTAATCAAATGGAAAACAGTAGAATCTTGAGAACCAATTGAAAATTGTGTGGGACCATTAGCTTTCAAATGCTATAGGTTAAAAGGGCCCAGTTTTTAGAGTCTGGTATGAAATACATATCTGCAAATTCAGTAGACCTATCAACACAAAATAATGAACACTTTGACAATTAAATCTTTATTATCAATTCACCCAGAATTGCATAACTATTTATTCATATTCTGAAAAATTCATATTCTTAAAATTAAATATTATAACAACCAATTTATTGATGATGGGCAGTTTCATACAACTGTCAATATTACAGTGCTATTTTAAAATGACTCTAAAATAAAATGTGTTGATTTCTTATAGGATGGCATACAAAAATGATTAAAGAAGTCTCAGGAAAGCACACACATTTCATTGTACATCTGTGTTTGTGCATGGAAAAAAATTGGCCCATATATGTCAATATTGCCAATATAGCCTCAAAAAATATAATTCAGCTTTGAAATTATATAATCATAATATTTATTTGGGGGGGAAGGTTGATCTGGTTATTAGTCATTGATAGAAACTGAAAAAATAATTTTTATTTGAATGAAACAAAAAAAATGACTCTAGCATATTTATGAAAAATTTTTCTGAACATTCTAACAGTTTAAACTAAAATATTTCTATAGCATGATTGTGTTATACAATTGCATCCAACTGGTGAATTCCTCTTAAAGAATATCACCTGTGATAACTTTTTAAAAAAGTTTAAGTTCATAACTTAACAATAACTGAACATTTATTATTACTTGAAATTGTTATTTGGAATAATTGCATGTAGCATGATTTTCCGAAGAAATGCTATGTGGTGTCATGTTACTCATTGAAAAGGGTGGTTTGAGCTATCAGTATTTGGTCTGCAGGGTACCACCACTGAAACGGAAGTCAGAAAGAGAAGGCTAAGTTCTTACCAGATTTCAATGGAGATGCTGGAGGATTCCTCTGGAAGGCAAAGAGCCATGAGCATAGCCAGCATTCTGACCAACACAATGGAGGGTAAGAAGCAAGCCATGATATAGTCAACCTTCTATGGCTATGTGCTTTGTGGAACTAGTCCTTCTTCTCATAGAATTACTGAAGATCAGAACCACCTAAGATAGGAACTGTATAATAGATCTAGGTACATGATAGAAGTATATTATTATCACATTGATTACAAAAACTAATATTGGCCTTACTTCTTTTTGACTTGGATCCATATCTTGTCTGCAGAGTGATATTTCACCACTTGATATTTTATCAGTGAGTATTTATTCTTATGTTACATTACCCATGTGCAAATAGAATAAACACTCCTCCCCTTTTAAGTTTTGGTATACAGAAGCACAAGGAAACATCTCTTTCAGGCTTTAGTCTGTTCTCCAGACATAGCAGTGTTGATGGGGGTGGGGAAGGACTTGGCTATGAATGAGTTGGACAAATCAAAACCTGTAATCCACCCCAACAGGGACCCTTAAAAAGGTCTCCCCTCCATCTTCTACCTACATAGAAATCATTACTTTGCTCCAAAGGCCCACCGACACAAATGCTTTTTTATTTCAAAACACAGGAATGGGCAGCAACTATTACCTCCTTGTTACCTCCTTGTTCATACATTAAATAGTCCCTACTCCTTGGAGTTGGGTGAGATACTACATTAGCTTTGCAATTTTGTAAGTCAATTCTTTAGATTCATCAGTTACATTTTGTATCATGCCCTATTGGTGTATTGGATATCCAAACAGTCACATAATAATTATTTTATTTTATTTATTTTATTTATTCTACAAAATAAGAGTAAACCACAGAAGTAGATTTGGGTCTGAATCTATACTGAAAAGAAGGATATACCACATTCATTGTATGTAAGATCAGTGTTGATGTGGAAACAGAGGAGAGAATGGATCACACATATTAATAAGGATCACATCTTTAGACAGTGTTCATAAAAGATACTTTTAGAGGAAACAATAATTACTAATATTTAATAAATTGAACGGTCCTATAAAGCTGATTTTAAAAGTTTGTTTTGAGAAGAATATAGCAATTTAATCTATCATAATTTAGTTATTTTGAAGCAAAATATTAAATTCAAAGTGTTTATTTTCTATATTTAAGAGAGAAAAAAGTTAATCTACAAGATATATTTTTTTGTTTTATTTCAAGATATTTTGGGGGTACAAATGTTGTTAAGGTTACATATATTGCCCTTGCCTCCCCTCTCCCCTCAAGTCAGAGCTTCAAGCATGTCCGTCCTCCAGGTGGTGCATGATATTTTTAATGAACATTTTCTGAAAATATTTAATGGAATTGTCTTCTCAAGTTTGTTAAGCTGAGTAATATGAATGTCTATTTGCAGGTATAAGCATCAATTTTATCAAATAATAATCTACTAGTAACAATAATTCATTTTATTGTTATTTACTACTATTCCTCTTTATTGTGCCCCCAGAACTTGAAGAATCTAGACAAAAATGTCCACCATGCTGGTATAGATTTGCCAATGTGTTCTTGATCTGGGACTGCTGTGATGCATGGTTAAAAGTAAAACGTCTTGTGAATTTAATTGTTATGGATCCATTTGTTGATCTTGCCATCACTATTTGCATTGTCTTAAATACCCTCTTTATGGCCATGGAGCACTACCCCATGACTGATCAATTCAGTAGTGTGTTGTCTGTAGGAAACCTGGTAAGTTCATTTGAGGTTTATTTATTTCCTTTGGCAGGGGTGGGAGAAATAGAACAAAGGAAAAAAAATCCATTCTTACAGTTATGAACCTGCAAAATTATATTATCTTTCTTCATAGGAAAAAATGTCTAAGGGAATATTACAGGGAATTTCAAAGATACAGTCTAAAATTTCATGCTGATTGTTTAGGCCAGTGTCTGTGTTGATTGATCATGGTTTTTGATTGCTGTAAACTCCTCAAAATCTTTACAGTTCTTCTTGCTGGAAATGTGGGCCCAGGGAAACCATGAGATCTAATCCTTGCTCCACAAACATGTAGTTTTAACCCACACAGCTTCTAAGAAATCATGTTCCTTAAAGGAACAAGCTAAAGATTGATTTCTATTTAAAAAGGGCATAGGTATTTTTAATTGAATTACTTAATAAAATGCTTCAGTGATATTCATACAAGAGAAGAAATAGTTGGTAAAAATGCATTTGTAATTTAGCCATACTTTCGGTTCAAATTACTCATGCATGCGTCTGTATCTGTGTGTGCCAATTTCCATTTCCTCCTAAATCTATATGAAAAATTAAAACACACAAACAGGTAAGAAGTGTTTTACATAGGTTATTAATCAAGACCTTTCTCTTCACTAACTCAAACAAACTTTGGGCAAGGGGAAATGGGAAGACTGACTCATGGAATGGAAGGAAAACATAGACTACCATGTAAAGGCTAATATCACAGGTTTCAGGAACAACTTTAATCAAGGGCTAGGGTATAGCTCAGAAGTTCACTGCAGCATTTGTCTTTAGGTCAGGAAATGTTCAGTCATAACTCACTTGTTTTACGTATTACAGCTTCTGCACTGGAAAAAGGCTGGATCTCTTTTTGAGTTCCAGTTCAAAGACTCATGATAGGACTTTCTTTGGCATAATTCGGGTCAGATGCTCACCTCTGATTTAATCAGCATTGGAAGGGATCACGTGAAAACATGGCTGTCCTGAGTAATCATGCAGGCAGAGGAGCAATTGCCAGTAGAATTGCATAAATGTGTATCCTAATAAGTAACCTCAACTTCTCTGCATTATTTGATTCAGTGGAACACCCACCATATTCTTGAGATTTTCTTCATCTTTGGCACCTGCAATAATATTTTTTTTCCTGATTGTTTCCTTGATTTGATCACTCTCTCTCTCTCTGATTCCTTTCTTGTACTTCTCTTCTTAAGCCTAGTAAGACCATGTTTTTGAGTCAATAGTTTTACATAATCAACAACTCTAAGAATTACCCTCTCCAGTGGTATAAGCTGTGTCCTAGGCCTATATTTCCAACTGTTATAGATCATTGCTCAAGAAATATTTTAAATATAATATGTACACAACTGAAAGATCATCTTTCCCATAGTTTATTGAAAGTATTATCAATCTAACTTCAGTCTTATGTTACCTCTAGTAGTGGCCTTCCAGCCTCAAGGATAGAAATAGTACAGACATTTTGCCTTAGTTTCCTTTATTTCTTATATACAGCTTGATACAAAGACCCATTATTTTTCTCTCGAGATATCTGTTTTTTAAATTCTATAACTACTACTAAAATATTTTTAGTACTCTTCATTCAGTATGCTTTCACCTTACTAAAATATCTATTGTCTGCAATTGTGGTTCAACACTCTTTTATCTGGTTTTTAAGACTCCTCATCTGATCCCATCTTTCCTAGACTATCTCATTCATTGTTCATTGTTTCTTAATTGGCCACCATCGGCCTTGTCAGAAGAACCTTGTCACTGTACCATACAAATACCACACAAATGTTTATTTGTTTACATATAGGAAAATCATTTTCAGTTCACTGTTTCTACATTCACATTTAGAGTATCCTGACTTGACTCACCTCACTCAATTCTTCATATTCTTCAAGGTCCAACTCCAGCCCTATTTCCTCTAATATGACATTCAGCCCATGTTGAGCATGCTTTTCTTAACTCCTAATGCATTTGTGAACAAAACATGGTTGAATATTAAATATTTTGTTGTTATTGTATGATTCTTGGTTTCCAAATCCTTTATAAATGACTCGATGGCAAAGGCTATGTCCCATTTTTCTGTTGTCTCTCCCAGTGTTTACATAGTGATCACTCAGTACAAACCCACTCGTTATTTCCTCCTCAAAAAGGCTGCCTCAGCTAGCATGTTTTTGTGAAAGACTACAGGCTTTGGAGTCAGGTGAAACTGGATTTGACCTCAGTTGCCAATGCTTACTAATGATATGGCCTTTAGCCAAGTCTGATAAACAATCTAAGTCTTTGTTTTTTACTTTGTTTATTACTAAAATGGTATAATAATACCCATCTCCCAGACTTGTTGTGAAAGTCAAATGAGGTAATGTGAAAACATCTAGCATGTGCTCAATAAATAGTTTCCTTCCTCATACATATGCTATTAACCTCTTGGACCTTTCTTTGCAATATTGATGGAAAATATGTCTGCTCTAGTTCTCGTATTTTTCCCAGGATATTGGACAATTAGGGAAGTTGAACAAGTGAAGGAAGATTTTGGAAATTTGCCAGAGTGAAGCAGGAAATTGAAGTTTTATAGAATTCCAATGTTGAAGCAGTTGAGTATGGAAGCACAGGATAAGAGGTTGGATTATAGGATGAGTGAGTGGAAAATCACTAGACTGAAGCACTAAATCTGGGTCCTAGTCTAGGCATTCATGCTAAGTATCTGTGTGGTCCTGAAAAAGTCACTTAGATCCTTGGGTCTGTTTTCTTGACACACACATAAACAATGAGAGTATTATGTTCCTCCCAGTTCTAAAATGTTATGTTATGGATAGTGACTGAAATGATGAGGTAGGAAAGTAGGATGGGAGACTGATAACTGGTCAATTGATACTACACTAACTGGTAGATTGATTGGAGGGAATCATTGGTAAATTCGGGTTAGTGTTGGGGAAACAAGGCTTATCACAATACAGAGCATAAATGACAGGGAGCAGACTTGAGTTATTTATTTCTAACCACAAGAATAAGAGAATATATAAACTGTCTCTATCAGCTGAAACCTTCTTACCATAATTAATAATAATGTCTTATACTAATAAAGCACTGCATAGTTTACAAAGTAATTTCTCATATAATATCTTATTTGATACCTATAATAATTTTATAAGAAATATACATATGAAAAATAACCTATATATTTAGTACATATGCAGAGAGAATATGAGAAAGAGAGAGAGAGAGAATTTTTTATACAATAGGCACTTAGCTGACTTTGGACTACATTATACACCATATATGGTAGCATGTCATATTTTGGGGGGAGTTTATAATTTGCTCATTAAGATACATTTAGAATTTCTATGGACTAGTTTATTATTCTTCAAATTACTACATGGCCTTATAGATGAGGACATCAAGGTTTTAGTTGAATTGATAATAAAAGACTATAAAAGAGTTGGGAAATTTTCAGTCTTGACTTGGATCAATGTGACCCTTTTTGTATCCTGTTTCTTTGGTACATAAAAATTACATCAAGTCTCTGTTGATTGGATTGATCAAATTGAGTATCAAGAGACCTTGAATCTCTACTGAGTCTCTCTAAGATGCTGTGTGTTTCGTGGGGTATTTTTTGGCTTTTGTTTTGTTTAACCATTTTACCCATTATAACCATCTTAGAGATTCAATAAGCAAGAAAAAGTCCGTCAACCATAATAGGTTAGACAACTTCATCATAACAAACATTTCCAACTAACTCGATGATGCTAAAACTAGACTAAAATGTACCAAAAATAATCCCAGTGATTTTTTAGGGTCTAAACTGAAAACATTTAATGAGATAACGCTGTGATTTTGAATTGCAAATTGTAATTAAGATGTTATTTTTAAAGAAAAGTTTCATGATGAGATTACATTTTAGATAAGTATAAGTTTAGAATACAGATTTTTAAATGCAGGAGATCTGCTCGTTTCAGAGGAGCTGAAAAGATCACCTTATAATTTTCTGTAGAAAGAGATATTTGTAGATCTAACCTGAATGGCTTCTAGCTCATTTTAAATAATATATTTCTATCATCAGAGTGCCTACTTCAAATAACAGCTGCTTGTAAAAGTTTTATATGTGAAATAAAATTTTTATAAGTTAGAACTTATTTTATATTTGCCAGGGAAACTCACTATTTGAAAAAAATTCCATAGTGAGTTATTCTATAAAATGAAAAAATTATTTTTCAATGTGCATTTTGCCATATATGTGGATTTTCATGTACTAGACTTCCTTAAAATACATTTTATTTCTATCTGAATGAATGGATGACTAACTGCAGTTCAGCTATTTTTTTCTGGGATGAGTATTTCCCTTAGATATTTCTGTGATTGAAAAAATGAGGTGTTAGTTGAATTTATACATTTGTAAGGGTGGCTCAAGATTTCTTTTAATGAATATGATAGTTTCAGAAATCAAATAACTTTAATACTATTATTTCGACAGAATTCCTTCAAAGTAAAGGCTGATTTATCTTGGTAAAAGCTTGACTTTACAGTCATAAAATGCAGCTTTTACCTATAGTGTATTAAGAGAATTGCTTTAAAAGACTTTCTGCAAGAATGATTTCATTACTCTTCATGTCTTTGTGTTTCTTAGGCTGCGGTTTTGAGTTAAAAAGCAAATGTTGTGTTTGTTTCATTGTTTTTCTCTCTATTGTCAAATATGCATTTATCTAGACACTCAAGTGATTTATTAATCTTAATTATAGGTATATGCATACTGAGAATGTTCTCCTGCTGGTTTCAATTAAATCTACAGTTCCTTGCTCTATTAATCCATTAACCTTAATTCTGAGGCATGCATCCAGAGACCATTATTATAAACCATTTGTGGCAAACTTACTCTTGTTTCAGGAATGTTTATAAAATTATAGAAATGAGATGGTGTTCCTTAAAACAAGCACAAAATTGAGAACACAATACGATTTTTACCAAATTTCAAGTACTTTTTAATAACTTTCAATAATATGTAGATTTGTCCCAGATGTAATAATATACAAAAAATAAATGTGGCTGTGATTATAGTAGAGGAGTAGTATACCAGAAAGAGCAATAGTTTAATAGCTATTATCCAGTGTCAGATTTAACATCTAGACAATAGAATATTTTAAAGTTACTGTTTTTCCTGGAACTCCAGCAAATTCATTCAATAAGACAAATCCACTTAACAAAATACTTTCCCAGGGGGAAAACTGCTAACCTTGAATTGATTTGTCACATTGTGTCACTTTAAATTTTAGATATTTTTATTCATAGCTGTTTAATATTCTTTTTAAATAAATTCTTGCAGCATCAAAGTTTTTCAGTGCTTTTTTTAAAGTAGGACTATTTTACTTTAGGTCTTCACTGGGATCTTCACAGCAGAAATGGTTCTCAAGATCATTGCCATGGATCCCTACTATTACTTCCAAGAGGGCTGGAATATCTTTGATGGAATTATTGTCAGCCTCAGTTTAATGGAGCTTGGTCTGTCAAATGTGGATGGATTGTCTGTACTGCGATCATTCAGACTGGTATCTGCGTTGGCTCTGTTTATGTCCTGTCTCTCATTGGCATAACGTTTATTAATATTTCATAACATTTGAAATTGAACAAATGTGTATTTATATAATTATCAATTTGAGTGATATTTAAAATTTATATCAATATGTGATATTTTAAGAAAATACATAAAGATTCTTTTTATAACTAAATGTAAACTATTTTCTAGGAATGATAACAGTGTTGAAATACTTTATCATGATTAGATATAATAGGGCACATTAAAAAACACATGTGTGCTTTCTAAAATTATATTAAATTTATGAATTTTTTTTGGTCTTACAGTCTATTAAGAAATCCAAATAAAAACTTTAGGTCCCAGTTAATTTTAGCTTTTTATTAATTCTACATATATTAGTTGAGACTACTTCAAAGTAATATGTGGGAAATTATTTGATATTATTAGCATCTTAAACAATTGTATAACAACTTTTTTGAATTATAGCAAAAAAATTTATTGAAAAATACGTATTTTTTCAAATTGAAGGGAATCCTTTCTATGTTTTTAATCAAATTAGAGTATTTTACTTTTATTTTATAATGGCCCATTAAAAATACATAACTGAGACTTTTAATATTTTTTACTCTCTAAAACAAAATCGGAAGGTGACATTAGTTTGCTAAATTCAAAAATGTCTCCAACAAAATGTTAATTTGTTTTCATGGGTATATCTGTTGATGAATCAGAAATGTTTTATTAATTATTTCTGAAATTTTTATCATTTTAATTTTTGCATTTAAACAATGTTACGATCAGATTTAAAATTCCAATATTAACACTACTTTTTCTGTATTTGAAATTGAATTAGTTTAGTATATTTTGGGTTTTTACATCCCTCAGGTGTGGTTCTCCAATATGGTAAACTAATAAAATAATGTCTAATTTCTAAGATTATATTGTGATTACTAAGAGTATTTTTCCACTTGATTACAGCTTCGAGTTTTCAAGTTGGCAAAATCCTGGCCTACACTAAATATGCTAATTAAGATCATTGGCAATTCTGTGGGGGCTCTGGGAAACCTCACGTTGGTGTTGGCCATCATCGTCTTCATTTTTGCCGTGGTTGGCATGCAGCTGTTTGGTAAGAGCTACAAAGAATGTGTCTGCAAGATCTCCAGTGACTGTCAACTTCCACGCTGGCACATGAATGACTTCTTCCACTCCTTCCTGATTGTGTTCCGCGTGCTGTGTGGAGAGTGGATAGAGACCATGTGGGACTGCATGGAGGTCGCTGGCCAAACCATGTGCCTTATTGTTTTCATGTTGGTCATGGTCATTGGAAACCTAGTGGTATGTATGTATTACAAATGCTTATAAATTAGAATAAGATCAGACGGTAGCTAGGAAGGTAGCCTGAAAGCATATACTTGGTTTTATAGTAAATGGCCTAGATTCAAATCCCCCTTCTAGCACTCTGAGCATGAGCAAGTTGTTTAACTTCTCTTACACTCAGGTTCCCATTTATAACACTGGAATGAATTACAAAACTGAAATCATATGGTAGAAGTGAGGATTAAATGAGGTGTATCTCTGAATGATCACTGGATATAAATATTAGATTTTTCTTTTTTTTTCAAATAAAATACATTTTTATCACCAAGACTAATTTTATCCCAATACTATTTTTATAAAATAATAACCTCTACTAAACCTAACTATCTGTTCTATATCAAAATTGTTCATGTTGGTTTACTCAGAGGCATAGGTTGCATACTACCAAATTTTGAAGACAAATTTCAGTGAAATAGGGCATTATATTTTAGCTATGTATTGTAATTATCCAGGTAACTTGGAAGGGGACTGAATATTTTCTTTCCTAAATTTGTATTATTAAAGGAAAATAAACTATTACAATTAAAATTATTCATATTTGTGGAAACTGTCCATATTTAAAAGGCTTAACTTTTTTTTTTTTTTTTTTTTTAGACAGAGTCTCGCTTTTGTTGCCCAGGCTAGAGTGAGTGCCGTGGCATCAGCCTAGCTCACAGCAACCTCAATCTCCTGGGCTCAGGCAATCCTCCTGCCTCAGCCTCCCGAGTAGCTGGGACTACAGGCATGCGCCACCATGCCCTGCTAATTTTTTCTATATTATATTAGTTGGCCAATTAATTTCTTTCTATTTATAGTAGAGACAGGGTCTCACTCTTGCTCAGGCTGGTTTCAAACTCCTGACCTTGAGCAATCCGCCCGCCTTGGCCTCCCAGAGTGCTAGGATTACAGGCGTGAGCCACCGCACCCGGCCTCTAGGCTTAACTTTTAATTGTGCCTTAAAAGCACTAATGTAAAAGCACAATTTGTATATTTCTATGTTTTAATGCTTCAATTTCTCAGTCATCTGTGGGCAAAGTATTTCTTTATATCATCATATTGGGCCTGCTCATTCGGGGGTACATTTCAAATGAAATTGCTCAAAAGAATGCTAGTGGGATACCTATGAACATGCAATTTTTTTTCCAGAATAGTATATTAGGGAACTCTGGATTCTGAAAAAAAAAGTGACACAAAAATAAGGAAACAAACTGGGGCTTTTACTTTGCCTGTGTCTTCCTATTGTGTAGCGTATTCTGAAACTCAGTAACTACATTTCAAGCTAAAAATATTCTTATGAATAAATTTCCTTTTATATCAGAAATAGTGAATTATTATGCATTAGCCATAATTTATCAGCTAATTGGGTAATTTTTCCATATATCCCAATGATACTCTAAGATTTAAGATTTCCTCATATTTTTCCACAAAATAAAGGAAAGAGAAAAGCAACTTACATTATATGGGTCTGGCCTAAACCCTGGAATAATTTTAGATTTTTCTCCATCTGTTGAGCTATTTGAACACATAAATTTCCAAGTATATTTGATGTTAAACCTTATGTAATTTGCATTTTGAATCTTCTGCTGTTATAAAAGTTTGCGGCTATTAGACCAAAGGAATTTGTATTTTAAGTATGTTGTTTTTATACATATCATCCATCAGGTTATTAAATGAATGCATTCATTATTTACACACATCAAGCTAGAAATTCCCTAGACAAACTGACAAGATGAAGTAAAATGATTAAGATGAAAGTATCTCTTTTTTTCTCGTGGGCAAAACCTATAAAGGTGGGGTTTGTCTTTTCACTAGCAAGTCTGAGCAGACGCAGTTTAAATCTTAGAAGCTCGCTTTCCTAGCATCCTTCTCAGCAGGAAAAAAGAGAGGCTTGTTGTACCATTTTGCCCTTAGAATTGAATATTAGGTTCTTTAGTGTGTGATTTAAACATATTGTCTGAAATGTAGTAAGCATGAAATAATTTAGCAAAGATCTATGAGTTCTCTGTTTAGGCTGTTACCTTAATGCATATTTCAATATTAATACAGAATTTTTTCTTTTAGGTTCTGAACCTCTTTCTGGCCTTATTGTTGAGTTCATTTAGCTCAGACAACCTTGCTGCTACTGATGATGATAATGAAATGAACAATCTCCAGATTGCAGTAGGAAGAATGCAAAAGGGAATAGATTATGTGAAAAATCAGATACGGGAGTGTTTCCAAAAAGCCTGTTTTAGAAAGCCAAAAGTTATAGAAATCCATGAAGGCAACAAAATAGATAGCTGCGTGTCCAATAATACTGGGATTGAAATAAGCAAAGAACTTAATTATCTTAAAGATGGGAATGGAACCACCAGTGGTGTAGGTACTGGAAGCAGTGTTGAAAAATATATAATCGATGAAAATGATTATATGTCATTCATAAACAATCCCAGCCTCACTGTAACAGTGCCAATTGCTGTTGGAGAGTCTGACTTTGAAAACTTAAATACTGAAGAGTTCAGCAGTGAGTCGGAACTAGAAGAAAGCAAAGAGGTAAGAATGCTTTTAAAGTTTTTTGTTGCATTTCCTGTAATAACTATGCACTATGGTCATTTATTATTTTTAATGTGTTTATATGCATTATTAAAAAGTAATACTGAAAGTCATATATATAGTGATATTGGAGAATCATGAGATACTCTTTATTGGTAAATCTGTTTATAGAAATTCCAGCTTTCCACAGGAAATCATCATTCTGAACAATTAATATATTCATTTTCTTGGTCGTTTGAAAACATCTGGTTAAGAAATGTGGCCTTTAAAAAAAGATTTATTTAATACATTCTACTCTAAACTACTAAACTACATTATGCTCTTTAAAAAAAGTCTATGAACTATATTTTATTCATCACTGTGAAGTGTCATCTCCTTACTCGCTACATGTTAGGTTTTTCTATGATGTTTTTAATGTGACAGTTTTGTGTAGTTTTTGTTAACCTCTGAAAGTTTTATTCACTATGATAGAGTGTTTCATTTATGAAAGTGTTATACATATTGGAAAAGTACAAGTAGGAATGATTATATTTGCCCAGTCAAGGATGAAAAAAATCTATAAAGTCTTCCAGTTTAACTTGAAAATACTAAGAACTATTTAGAAAAGCTCCACTTGAGAATTATAATTAAACTGTAGATGGAAAACCTGCTCTTACTGTCATTACTAGTTGTTTAAATTAGAGAAAGAAAGAAAAAAGAAGGAAAATAGGAAATTATTCTTACTATATGATTAGAATTTGTAAGTTTCCATAATAGTAGCCCAATGGCATTAATTCTTTAAGTCTGTGTTGTGGAGAACAGTATTAATTTTTTTACTATTATTTATGTATGGACTTTTAATACACTAGCAGGAAGTAAGTCTAGCACAAATGAAGTCATAGAAGATATGTTTTAGCTTGAGAGCATAATGTTGACACCATGGGAATCAGACCATTGATGGCTGATTTTGTGAGCATATTCTGGAACTTTCTTTTTTTAATAAATGTACTAACAGAATTTGATTTGAAATCCTTATAATAAGTAGCTGACAATAAGTCATAGCTTCCTGGTTTTTTTCAGGAATTTCAGAGTTGTTGAGAAATAATATAATAGTAAATTGGAAAATACTTTGAAAAAGGTAAAAATACATACAAAATGAGGTAGTAATATTCTTTCTCTCAATTCCACTCAAAGTCTGCTTAGTGAGTTCAATTCTAATTTAGGTTTCTCATTCTGACAAACTAAGAATCCAACTCTAATTTTATTTTCCATCACTTGACATAGATTTATTTAAGAAGCAATACCAATGAATTAGCAAGCATTTATTGAGCACTTTTCATGAATTCGGCACTCTACTGGATACTAGGAGTAAAGAAGAGTTAAAGGAGAGCTCTATAACGTAATTCCCTTTCAGGGAAATCTCAACATCTTTGAGTAAGCTAACACTAACTCATGAAATCATTAAAGACCTATTAAATCCTGTAGGGCTGCATATTATATGTGTTGAGAACAGCAAGATCAATTGCTAACCAGAAGAGATAGAATTGAAATAGGCCTCAAAGTTTGGGTCCTATACAGATGAACAGAAAACAAAAAACTGAAACCTACTAAAGGAAAGCCAGAGTTGAGAGTGAGCTTAGTAGTAAGGGGAGGTGGTGAAATACTCAGCATGAGTAAAGTATCGGTTGGGAAGATAGTGGAAAATGTATTTGAATGTGTAAGGTAGTTTCAGATTGTAAAGTTTTAAATTAAGTCAAAGAGTTTGGAATTGGCTGCATAGTCAATAAGGACCTATTGCTTGTTCTGAAGCAGGGGAAGACAATAGGAAAGTGATGTCTTCTGAACATCTATCTGATACCAAAGAGTAAAACAGTTCAGAGTGAAAGATAAGAAAGATTATCTCAGGGAATATGATAATAGCCATTTGATAGCAATGATGTGATGAAATTCTGGGCTGCTGGAATAAGTAATGGCAACTAAGACTAACTGGGAATTTGACAAGCCTGCTAAAGAATCTAGGAAATTGGAAAATTAGTAATGCCATTTTTGAAAGGCTTTTTCAAGAGTTACCAGGTTTATGTGCGAAGAGGAGTTCAATTGAGATAAACTGAAATAGAAGCGATGGCGCTGGGAACCAGAGTCTGGGTAAGAGGTCAGGATTTAAAAATGGATATGATAATGCAAATTTCGTAATTATCTGATTCCCTGAAAATGGAGGAGCTCACCAAAGAAGTAATCATAAAGTGAAAATAAGGGAAGACTAGGAACAAAGTAGCATAAACAGCTTAGGGTCAAAAAAAGGTCAAAAAGCCAAAGAGTTTTAAAAAAGTTTTTATTAGATGAATACCATAGATTGTATCACATCAGATCTATAGAAAGTAAATATATCTTAATTTCCTTTTGCCAAATGGTTCATTTCCAAAACACTTCAAAAACTTCATAATGTCCACAGATATTTCAAATAATTGCTTAGAAGAATACTGCCTCATTGTCATATCTTGTAAATGACTTAAACATAATAAATTTGAAATAATGAGATACAATTTATCCTTCATTATCAAGCCCTGGAAAATATTTCATTACCTGAACAAAAATTCCTTATTGGGTGATTTTTTTAGTAACCATTCTATCTTCTTTCAAGCTAATTTTGAATATAACTACATAATATAATGAAATTGGTTAAAATGTACAGATAGATTAGTGGGAAAGTCATCAAATTAAATATACATTATACATTTTATAAATCTAGAATAAAATTTCAAATTATCTTGCACAGTAATATTAAATTCAGCAATAAATTGTATGTGGATGATTTGGTAAAATTAGTGCCCCCCAAAAAGAAATAGAGCAATTCTCATATATGCTCACACACAAGATAAAAGGCAGACAGTTTTGCAAAATAAAAGCAAATATCAGCATGTTCTAATATTATAGAACAGATTTAGATAAACTCTAGCAAGATGCAATTTTGATTGGAAATTTCCAAAAACTGCTGGCATTGAGCACTGGTCACATTTCAGGTGCGTAGTTATATTGGCTGGGCTATTCTTTTTTAATAGCTATCACACACATATACATACACATTAAAAAATATCATCTCCATAAAGTGACATTTCAGTTCATGTTTCTTGTTCACAAGTAGCAAAAGAACACTGAGCTCTCCTTTGTGGAGAGCAAAGAGTGTCCTTACTCTTTGGGGATAAAGTAAGCACTCACGTAAGTTAAACCCACCAGAGTTATATGTTTTTCACTAAAAAAAAAGGATTGCATGAAATTTCTGTTTTAAAAGGTAGCAGAAAATTAATCATTAATTTTGATGGTATTTGAAAACTGTAGCTACGTTATTCCTTCCATTTATTTTCATAAAAAGTATACCTGACTAGTGCAGCTAAAGAGAGCTGATCGCTAGAAGTTTTTAGAGGTAATAATATGAATTGCTATTATTTTATATTATATAATATATATTATGTGTATATATTATATCTGTATATACAGATATCACTAACATAAGCAATGCAGAAACAAATGTTCAGCTAATGCAGAAACAAATGTAAACCTTTGCATGAAAAAATGGAAGGGAACTGAAGGCATGAATTTCAAAATAGTGATACTTTTATCTTGGAAAAATTATATTAATCTTTTGACAAGCTCCAATGTAGAATTTTGTTTGTTTTTCTATTTTTAAAGTTCACATAACCATGATTTCTTGACATTTTTTTATAACTATGGATTTTTACAATTTAGTTTTGAAAAGATTATTGTTTTACTTCCTAAGTGAAGGATATAAAATAAATGTTTTTAATAATCATATTTGAAGTTGAATTCCAAACACAATCTAGCATTTTCATACTGTGACCTTCACTGCTTACCATTCTTACTTCTCACAGGGATAAAATCAAGCTGGAGCCATCAGGAATGCAGCTCTGGTGTTTTTTAACCAGCCAGAGGCCACCACTTTTACCCAGGTTACCCAAGCAAGTTGTACATGTACAATCACTTTCTAAATAAATTTTGACTTGCGTGCATGCTACTCAGCTATGTTCCTTCCCCTGCCATGGCAAGGAAGTGCTAGACTTGTCCAGCTGCTCTCTGCTGAATCGTGTGACACATCACAGCATGGTCAGGCAAGACGGGCAGTCCCAACATCGTATTTAATTCTGCTAATGAGTTTTCAGTTTAGGCTTTCAGCCTTTTAAAATCAATAATTGCATGCTCTATAAGATTTATAATATCTATTTTAAAAACATGGTAGGAATGTTTAAGGTTCACTATAGTGAAGGACTTAAGAGAGCATGCATTTTTTATTTCTCTGCTTTTATTTCATTATAATAAGACCACACTTTTGTTGTTGATTCAGCCCTTATAAGTAAATTGTATTACCAAAATGAGCCTCACAGTGGTTTTTTTTTTCTGATAGTACTGCTATTTTCAGGTTATTATATTCAGATCTGTGAATATAATTTTCAACCTATCCAATTCATGTGCTCCAAATGGAAATATTTGCTTTCATGTTTTGGGGGAAATGCTCTGTAAAAATGAGTAGGGTGATCATGAGTTTTTGGAGATGAAGGGCCATAGTCTGTATGTATTTGGGCACCACATATCTTGGATTTTTATGTATTTAATAGCTTAGGAAAGTTGTCATATGTCTGCAAAACCATAGTCATCATTGTAAAGTAATCCAAAGAAAGCATCATGATATGGGGGAGGAAAAATTTATTGCATCTTGATCATTTAGCTATTGGTCTACTATACCTACTTTTGATTTGGAATTTTCATGATCTACATTAATTTCTCTCTGAATATTCTACCCAAAACTGAGCAGGCAAAAAAGAGACTTGGAAAGTTTACAATTTTTGGTTAATATTTATTAATTATAGTTTTATGAGGAGTAAAGGGCATCTCCCAATATTATTGTAGATTTGTGGATTAATTAAGCTTTTAGTTTATTTTCTTAACACAACTTTCTCCTGTTAATAATCACTGCTTACTGAAATCTCAGCCAGAGTGCAGATTCTGGG